ACCCAAGTAAAAGAAAAAAAATTGAAAAAAAGGCCCGGAACCGGGTGGTCCGGTTCATATAAATGTTTTTTAATGAATGCTGCTATTTCGAATTTTCTTTCCTACCGTAATAAATTAATGCTGCTATTTTTGTTTCCTTAAGTAAATGAAGTTGGGAAAGAAATTATAGCCAACTTGTTGTCTATCTCGAATAGATAAATAACAATTGTAGATAAACAAACTTTGAAGGGTTGATTGTCAGTTCCAAATTCTATCTAGGAACTTTATTGCATCCAAACATGAAATCCTTTGTACGACTATACCAAACAAAAGATAAATTGACTTCATGAACTTCAATTGAAAAAGTTATAAAGAAAAGACAATTTTAATTGAATTTTTCATGCTAACAGTTAAACTTATGGTAGAAATCTTATATCATCTACGTGCTGTTTTAAATCCAAGTCTTCGTATACAATCTCCTTTCAAAACCTATGAGAGGAAATTGTAATTGCTATGGTTTTATTCAATTGGAAATAATAAAAGACTTGCAAGAATGTTTACAATAGTAGATGGTGAAAAAAACTTGTTATCCAAGCAGAAGTTTTAATTGGGAGGAAAAATACATTATTTATAGGAAGATCAATTTGAATAGCAAATTTCTCCTTTGGGGAGGTGATGTTCGATTAGGGATGGGGAGGTGAACTGGTGCGTGAAAGGATGTTAAATCACGGGTGGTTTGCAGTGATGTAGTGTGGCGATGTTGTGCGGCGAAGTGCGGTGCTGCAGAAGATGCACATAATGATGAGTCGTAAATGAATTTTCTCCTAAATGTGAACCGGTCTAAAGAATTGAAATTGTCCATGAAGTAAATGGTGAAGTAAATGAGGAGGGGAGAAAAGCGGGAAAGAATTTCGGAGAGGGATTCTACTTTTAGGTATGTACTCCCTCCGTCCCCTTTTAAATGTCCCGGAAGAGGGTGACACGAGTTTTAAGAAAAGTAGGTTTGGTTTGTGTGGTTGATATTAATAGATAAAGTAAGAATAAAGTAAGAATAAAGTAAGAATGATTTTGAACCACATAAACTTTACCAAATAAGGTATGAGACAATTAAATAAGGACATCCCAATATGGTAAAATGGGACATTTAAAAGGGGACGGAGGGAGTATATGATAAAAAAAAGTAGTATAAATAGAAGTGGAGGGAGGAATCAAATGTAGCAAGAGAGTGAGATTTGAAATAGGCTTGGGAGAGGATACTGCTCGAAGTGTCTCAACCTTCTTCTCTTTCTTTCTGTTTTCCATTAATTCAGTTGTAATTACTCAGAATCCATCATTCGATATACTGGTTCTCTACTACATTAGTTGAAGTCTCTATCATCTGTGCAGATAGGGCGAAGGATCCATAACTTCATCTGGTGGCATTCACATGTGAATTGTTTCAACAAAATGTACATTCCTAAAGATTATATATCGGTTCCTATCAAGATTATACCTTTTGTTAGGAAGGATATCCAAGAAACTTAGTCCTTGTTTCACAAAATAGGGTTTCAATTTTAGAAATCGAGTCCCATCATCACTTCTTACCACTTTGACATCCTAACTAACTTGGAATTGTCATTTGGTCATGCAATAAAATTGTAAAATAATACTCCGTAAACAACATTTCAGTATGGCCATCCACGATTTTATAAAATGCAATAAAATCGAGTCCCATCATCACTTCTTACCACTATTCTCTCTCACCAAATGGTTCTAGTATGGCCATCCACGATTGTCTAAAAATAATGCGACCACAAAACAACACAATGAATCCACTCAAGTGGCTCGATCAACAACATGAATATAATTAGTTTAAAACACATTTCAGGTTTGTTTTGCCCCGTAAACATGCAACACGAGTATTATTCATGCAGAATATTGTTTTTATTAAATTGAAAATGGAAGACAGAACCTTGAGGACCGGTGACCTAATTGTGAGTGCCAAATTTCTTCACAAATCTTTGTTCTTACATATATTTGGTTTGTAAAGTGTAGGCAACGGCAGACGCATGACTTCCCGATAGGAGGAGCAGCAGTATAAAAAATATATACAAATACATATGTATTAAAATTTTGGGATAAATATACCTATAAAACATTTTTGGAGGGGCGGCGGCCCCCCAATTGCCCCACTTTGGGTCCGCAGTTGAGTGCATGATCGGTCCTGCCCATTTCTTGGCCTATGGGCAATATACTATATTGAACTTATACATAAAACAAACCGTAAACTATACATATTTAAAATATGATTTATAACAAAAATATCTAATAAAGATCATAAAATATAGGCAAAAGTCACTTTACTATTATTTAAATTACATATTTAGGCAAAAGTAACAACAAAAGTATAACATAAAAAGAAAAATATATTACTTAAAACGTTTCTTGGAGAACAATTTGAAGCAAAATCATAAATAATCACTTAAAATGAATAAAACACATTAAAAACTAAAGAAATGTGAATACCGAAGAGACACATCTTTTATTGATTCAACAACACTTGTGTTTCTTTAAATACTATAAGTGGTCCTACTTAAAATTAATGTATATTCTTTTTTTAAACTTGGCTTCATTTAGGATACTTTACTTGTGTCCTATATTTTCAAATTCTCAACAAAAATTAAACATTCGACATAATTAATTGAACATAAAATATAAAAAGAAGTCTACTTACACTATATATGCTTATTTTTTTTGGGTCTACTCTTTTCTCTATATATTTTCGGGCCTAGGGCAGCTTCCCCGTTGCCCCCACAGGACCGACCCCGGAAAAGTGTTTAACAGGGTGTAAAACATCTCATGATAAATGAGGTGCAATGTACAAACAAAATGATCAACAAAGACGATTCTTTAAGAAGTCGTTAAATAATGTCAATATTTAGTATTGCAACTACTTTAACAATGACTCTAAGACTATCTGCAGTGGAGGGGGTTTTAAGAGTCTAAAATGTCTAAAATGGACTTTTAGACTCCTAAATTTATACATTTGAGGGGGTTACAGATGGATAGGTGGATGGAGAGAGTCCAGATTTATTAGAAGGCTGATCGACTCCCAGTTTAAACAAAAGGTGGAGGCCGTGGAGCAAAGCAGCGTGAAGATCGTACCACAAGTGTGGGCCCCGAAACAAAAAAAAAATCACGTTTTCTTTTAAAGTGTCATAACTTTTGTATTTGTTCTCCAAATTTTTTATGACACCAAAAATATATCAAAATTCATGAATTTTTATGATCTTTCATATATAAAAAAACTTTCAAAAAATATATCAAGATTCATGAATTTTTATGATCTTTCATATGACACTAGTATCACATATATACAGTGAAAAAAGAATCTCAAATTTTAACCGTTGTAGTTTTCTTGAGCATAAAAAAACATGAAACATAATTTTTTAATTCATGTATCATGCACAAATAATTGAATATTACATCATCTCATTTTATTTTTATGAAAACTGAAAAACCTAAAAAAATAGAGGTTTTACAAGAATATTACTAAAATAAGTCATATTTACATAAATATGACTATTCATTACTACAATGTGGTGTTGTGGTAACTTAAGCTCAAAACTTGAAAATGAATTACTATGATTTCATTACTACTCTAGTCATTAGTCATATTTTTGTAAATCATCTTTATTTTGGTCATATTTATGTAATTATTTCAAAAAAATAACGAGAATGCTCAAATGGAATACGATTTTAATGAAAATGCTCACAAAATGTTCACTCATTATTTAATTGAATGCTTAGAAGAGAATCTGATAATAATCCAACTTTTCTCGAACCAAGTTAATTTTTGTTAATTAAAAAACATTAAAAAATTAATGAAATTAGTATTCTTTACATCAACATGTGTATTTTTTATTTCATAATTATTTCTGAAAAAAAAATAAAAGGCAAATATTACTTATAAAAATTTAATTATTATTCTACTAATTTAATATGTAAAAAAACATGTTAAATGTATTTTATTGACTGTGCTGGAATGCAGAGAAAAACATCATTGACAAAACACTTTTTTGACAAAACACTTTTTTCATACCAGCTGAATCCATATTTCAACTTTTTAGACTCTTACCACTACCAATTATCTAATAGTTCTATTTTGAATTGGCAAAATTTATAAAAATAATCTCTAGTTTTAGGGATTCTACAATAATAATCCCTACTAAGAGCATCTCCAATACTACAATGTGTAGGCTGCACATGTGGCATGAGAGATATAGACACAAAATATTAATTTTATGACATTTCTCTCTCCTTCTTTCCACGGTCTTATGTATTTTTGGTAAGTTTTTGTCTGCAATGTCAACCGCAATGTCTACATCTAGACATTGTGTTTGACATTTTGAAGAAAACCTTACCAAAATTATGTAAGATCTTTCAAATAAGGAGAGAGATATTCTATCGATTGTTTTTTAATTGGTTATTTCTCATGCCACGTATGCACCGTTAACGTTTGAGCATTGAAGATGCTCTGAGAGTATTCATAAAAGTAATCCGAACTATCAATAGGGTCCACAAGAATAAATTGAGATAAATAAAAATTATTTTCCACTCAATTCTCCCAAATCTTACCTCTAATTTCCCCTTCACCACTTTTCTTTTTGGGTAACACTTCTATCTTCTATCCTAGAACCACTTTTCTTTTTGGGTAACACTTCTATCTTCTATCCTAGAAAGAACCACACATGGTGGAAATGACAAAGATTAAATGAGTTTTTGTTTTAATTCACTTCGATAAGAAGAGTGACGAAGAACAAAGTGAGAATATGGATTGATAGTATTTAACGAGTATTAATTTGAATTGACCCCAATTTATTCTTGTGGACACTATTGCTAGTTCAGATTATTTTTATAGAAATCCTTAGTATGGATTATTATTGTAGAATCGCTAAAAACAGGGATTATTCTTTGTGAATTTGGGCTTTTGAATTTCACCTACTATTTGACTTTTTTATTCAACAATAATCCGGTTGGGCCTTCCCGCCGTAACGCTATTTGGAAGAGTTGGAAAGAGTTAATGCCCTCTCCTAAACCCCATTTAGGCTCCATGATCTGGAATCCCATATTCTACGGAGTATCATCAAATGGCTTCACTAAGATACCTCATCTCCAGATCCTCTAGGTTGCTGCCTCACCTGCATCACAATTCTTCTCTTTCCCGGCTCCTTACATCGCTACACTCTTCCATATTCCAGCACCATCGGAATTGCAGAAGCTTTTCCTCACTACAAAATTACAGTCAGGACTCCGATTCTTCTATTGCTGCCTCTTTAAATATCGATCACCGCATTCCCGCGACCATCATTACTGGATTTCTAGGCTCTGGAAAGGTATTATATTGGTTGCTTATACTTTTTTTAATCACAAAAGCGGTGTGCTTTTTTACTTACATGAAATAAGTAATTCAGAAGTTTATGAACATTGTTTTAAATTTTAGATTCTTAAAGTGTTGCTATATCCAAAAGCACCACCAGTATGAATGCGAATTTCTTAGTGGAGATACTGGGGTTGGTGGATATTCTCCCCTTTCGATTAGGGAGTATAACATACTGACGTCAATTATCTGGTATTGTATGCTTCCCTTTCTTTTTCACTAATATGATTGTGATTACTTTACAGACAACGCTTCTGAATCATATACTGACATCTCAGCATGGGAAACGAATTGCTGTGATTGAGAATGAGGTATTTATATCAATTAGATAATAGGTGCTGGTGTGCTCAGTTATAGTTGATAATTCATAACCATTTGCATAAAAAGTCTATTATTATGTATGTATGTATGTATGTATGTATGTATGTATGTAGAATTTCACAGGCCAACTTTGAGGTGTGTTTATAGTACTCCGTATGTAAATATATATGCTATATTTGCAGTAAGTTCTTATTTTTAAATAAGTACATATTGAAATACTACGTGTGAAAAAGGATGTTGTGGGTGTCCAAATTGAATTAAGTTTTTTTTTTGTATAAAGTTTAAGGGGCTATTATAGGGTACCCTGAAATTCTAAATACGTATTATTAATCGAAGGTTTATGGACCAAATCAGCACAAATCTATCATTTTCTGGGCATTTTTTGGACACCGATAAAAGGGTTTCCTTCTTTCTTTAATCAAGACCATTACTTTTATTTTTCCTTTCTTTTCAATTGGTACATGCAAAACAACTTAATTGATGTGTTTATTTAATTTAAGAAGTGATTTTAATTTTAGTATATTTAATTAGATATTCCAAGTAAGAAAATTTCATAATTATAATAATGGATCTAAATTCTATGATTCCGTTAATTGGATTTAACAAATCAATTTTCGCAAAATTCTAAAAATATTGTATGAAACGAAAAAAAATTCTCAACTTCTTAAATATGAGATGTTGTTCTTAATTGAAACATCGAATTATATATTCTAAACTAAATACGCCAATTATGTAGTTTATTGACAACAAAAAGGAAAGAAAGTAAGAGTAATGATTTTTAGCAACGGAAGAAGAAAATCCCGAGTGAGTGTCCAAAAATGACCAAAATGTTACATTCGTTCTTATTTGGTCCATTGAAAATCTTGGTTCTTGGTGGCCGATATGAGATTCGCGTATGACTAGGGCCTACGTATGACCATAGTGTCCAATTTGGCCCTTTTTCCTTAAATTGTATGTAATCTACCTGTGCAAAATGGTAACAATCAGAAATGGTGCATTTTCATTACATTGTGATCGCACTCTTAAGTTAAAAGATGCACACTTTTTCATAAAATGTGGTGGTCGAAGTTGCGCTTAGTTACGACTCTACAACCGTGTTTTTTCATCCCCCCTCCTTAGACCCTCTAAGTCCTATGACCTACAATCTAATGAACCATATATATTTCCATTTTAAACCTGAGGTGCACATATATGTAAACACACACAAACTCACATTTTTAGATTAAATGTGAATTTTCACTGCCACCACCTGACTATAAATTGCTAAATCTTACTTTAAATATCTAATGTGGGTTGCTGGGATGTATCCACTTTGTTCATGTGGTTTTGGTGTTGCCTCTATATAGTGCACTCATCTATGTAGCTTGAGATGGAATAATTGTATTTCAGCAGATGATGCAATGGTAACTGGTATTTAAAACTTAGCTTATTAATTAGAGATTTCACAATTCACTGATCAATATAGTTTGGTGATAGAGTTGATGATTTGTTCAACAATAGTTGTCTAGCTGCAGTATGAATGTTGATAACACCTTGCTATGCTACACTTTTATTAATTATAACAGGTTACTTGATTTATTGATCTACGTAGTTTGGAGAGGTGGACATTGATGGTTCGTTAGTTGCTAGTCATTCATCATCTAATGAGGACATTATCATGGTCAATAATGGTTGTCTTTGCTGCACTGTACGTGGAGACCTTGTTAAAATGCTTTTGGAGTTGGTCAAGACAAAACGAGACAAATTTGATCATATAGTTATTGAGACCACAGGTATGTGTACATAGTGTAAGCACATGTTTAGAGGTATTATCCTATTTCTTTGTGGGCGAAATTGTGAAGAAGTTTACTGCACTTATACTTTCACATCTATGGGGAATCGGAAGACTAGCCTCTGGAGGATTTATATACATGTTTATTGTACCTACCGAAATTTCTACAAAATTTTACTCTATTTTTTGTTTTTATCTTGATCATGCATTATCAAATTTGAGGTTGTGATACATATAGTGGCTTGCTATAATAAAACTAAAAGGTATTGTCAATTAGCCTTGTGAGGTACAACTGTTAGATTCAATTTTTAGTTGAAACATAATAACTTCATTCAATTTAGCAAACCAAAGATACATGGTTCGAACCTACATGAAAAATATGTTTCCACGTAGTGTTTGTCTGATCAACATATAAAAGACTACATTCCTTATAGCATATTGAGTTATAATAGAATAGATAAAAATAGGACAACTATTAGCTTAACCTTTAAGTTGAAACAGATCACATCATTCTGTTAGTGATACCCCCAGGTCTCGCTAAGCCAGGCCCTGTGATTGAAACATTTTGCTCTGATGAGTTGGTCTCAACACGCGTTAAACTGGATGGAGTTGTTACTCTAGTTGACTCGAAACATGCCATGCAGCATTTACTTGAGATCAAACCCAGATTTGTAGTGAATGAAGCTGTGGAACAAGTTGCTTATGCTGATCGTATTATTTTGAACAAGGTCAAGCTTATGATATTCTCACTACCAGTCGATCGGCTTTCCCCATGCAATTTTGAATTTTTGTCCCTTGGCTGTTGATTCTCTTTTATAGAAACTGGTTCTAAATGTTTTATGCATGGTAATATTAACAGATAGATTTGGTTTCTGAGGCTGACCTGGAGGCATTGACAAAGGAAATTAAGGTAGTCTTCTGTGTTAGACGGCCATCTCTGAATATTCCCCTTAATAAGATTAAATAGCTATGTAAGACACAAAGATGTTTAGTTTTTTCCAGAAAGGATTAATATGGTTCTTTATTCTCCCATTTTCTTCAGAAACCTCTCATCCTGCCAACAGTTACCAGTCAAATATGTTCCGTTTTCGCTGATTGGATCAATACGGGTCTTTAAATTACCATTTTCTGGATAATTTATAATATGTTCACGTTCACTATGGCGACCTTCATAATGTTTCAGCATATAAACGGGATGGCACAAATAAAGAGAGCAAATTTTGGGGTAGTTGATATGGACTTCGTTCTGGGAGTTGGAGGCTATGATCTTGATAGGTAGTCTTACCTGCAAAATGAACCATCTGGTTATAAATTTAGTTTATTTGCGCATGTATGGCTGTATGCATCATATCAGAAAAGAATCTATTTGAAATTTATGTATCTGATGCTCTATTCATGCTTCTTTATGAAGAATTGATTCAGAAGTTCAGTCAGAAGGCTCTCATTGCAAGCATCACCATGAAGATGACAATGGTAGTTGATTTCTGCAACTTTGATGTACTTTTATTTTGAGATATCTAATCCTTTGCTCTTTTACTAAACTATTTGAAGTTTCATCATATGATTGGCTCAAGGTGCCTTTACTGTGGTGTGTTAATGGTATACACTATACAATGTTTTGGGCAGAACATCACAAAGGACACCATCATGATCACTTGCATGATTCCGCTGTGACCAGCGTCAGCATCGTTTCTGAGGGAACCTTAGATCTAGATGAGGTATTCTCAATGTTAATTGTGATGAGATCTAAGACTATTTAAACATGTTGTGAGTTCTACTATTATGCTTATAATGCCAATTATTTGTTTATAAGTTCATCCATAGTAGCAATGTCTTAACTTGCTCTTCATATGACCTTCATAAGAACTAATAATGAGATGAATATTTTAAAAACGCCAGCTTCATTGGTCATTTATACATGGAAAAGAACGTCAGCTATTGTGTTTGGCCATGGTGTCTGTTTCCTTGTGAATGTATTTCACTAATAGTGTTTTTCTGTAAGGTGTCCTAATGGAAAGAATTGCAGTCTAGAAACAATGTCATATGGCAAGAATTATTGAAGAGTATTTCCCGTAATGACTAAATATAAAAGTAGCAAACCGACCATATAAGACTTTGAGTTTTTCCAATTATGAGGTCGATCTTTTAGGATGGAAATATGAGTTTTAATATGTTTGAGTCTGACTTTGGATGTTTTTAATTGGACTAAAATTTTCGTCTGGTTTATATGGATTTTACAATTGTCAAAGTCTGTACTGTTTAAGTGTGGTCTGGTCTCGTCTGTTTAAGTGAGGTCTGTTCTGATCTGATCCAGGACTGAAATAAGTCTAACTAAAAACATCCTTTGTATAATGGAACCCTGAATGTTAAGCCATCCCACGTTGGCCAAATCTATAATGACAAATTTATATATAAAATTTGGGACCTCCTCGATCTGTTATGCAGTTATGATGGAATCCTTTAATATTACTCCCTCTCACCCGCTAAGATTGTCTCACCTTTTCTATTCGGTCCGTCCCACTAAGATTGGCTCATACCAAATTTGATAAAGTTTGTGTGGTTCTAAATCATTCTTATTCTAGCAATTCAATATCAATCACATAAACCTACTTTTCTCAATATTTGCACCACCTCCTCGTGTCTCAATGTTAGTGGGATGGAGGTAGTAATATTATCGTCTTGCATGATATAGGTTGATGATTGGCTGGAAAGACTCCTAGAGGAAAAAGGTGATGACCTATACAGGATGAAAGGGGTTTTGTCTGTGAGTGGTTCTGAACAGCGATATGTATTTCAGGTAATGCAAAGCCATAACGGAGTGTTTGCTTGGTTTGTAATTCAACAAGTCTGCACATTCATTACACATTTCTAAATCTCTTGTTCATTTTTAGGGTGTGCATTCTGTTTTAGATGGCTGCCCAGGAAAGAGTTGGGATCCAGAAGAGAAACGAATAAACAAGCTTGTCTTTATAGGCCGAAACCTTGATGAAACTGCACTGAGGAAAGGTTTCAAAGGATGTTTAGCATGAGTTCAAGCTGCTTGTTTTTCTCTATCTAATGTATTATACAATCAACACAGACTGTCAGGTATTAGTCTAAAAAAAAAGTTGAACGTGGAAACAGTGGGTTGGCTACTCAAAAACTCCTACTCCTGTAGGTCACTTTGACCATCACCTTGAAAAGGCAAAGCTTTGTTCGGAAAGCAGCATTTTCACCAAAATGCTGTGTGAAGATGCTGCATTCTTTTAGTCTTACCAACAACTTGAATGCGCAAAATGCTATTCTTAATTGAGGTAATTGCGATGGCGACTAATTTAAATCCAAATTAGCCAGATGGGGTGGGGGGTTTGTCCTATGTTAAAGGAACTGGAACATAAATACCATGGATTCTAGTTCCGTTTATAGAAATGATTTTCTTTATGTAAACTGGTGATCGGCCCTGGTTCAAAACCAGGGTGGTTATTCTCCCTTTATGGCAATTGTGTACAACTATATCTAAACTGAATGCTTAGTGTCACGACTAAGGCCGGGACACTAGGATCCCCATTGATGAAATTATTACTTCTTTGTCCCATTTTAAGCGCCCTTTTATGCATACTTTGAAATACCTCAAACACCAAGAATACTGCATGCTGCTTTTATGCATACTTTGAAATACCAGAAGTTATGGACTCATACTCGTTATGTAATTGCTCTACCAAGTACCAACTCTAGGGAGGTGTGAGCCCACCAAGGAGCATGTACCGCTCGGGCCAAACAGGCCTGAAACCATAATATGGCCCTGTGAGCACCTGATGCACTGAAGGTCGGCTCAACAGGGATTTGGCCTTGATTACTTACCATGACCAAATGACATAAATGGGTGGTATACACACCAACGACCAATCCTTAGACCGCCCTGCATAATAATGGCTTGGCCGGTTACAAGACCGAGGGCTGAAGTGCTGAACACAAGATCACAACATCTGCTACACAAGCTCCTGGTGACATGTGAAGAACATCTTGATTGCCCTAGACCAGCCTGCTTGCTTCCCACTTCTCCATCAGCAACAGCCTGGCCCTTGGGCAACATTCCATTTTTTGTAGGAACTTTAGATATGAGATGAAGAATTCTCAAGGCATGTATTTGGTTGGGAAGATACAATAGATGAAGAGCTCCACAAATGAGGGCTGCCATGATGACCCCCTAAACTACCACCCTCAATTATAAATACCCCTTCATTACTTCATTCTAAGAGTTGGTTATTGCATTTACCAGTGAGAACATTTATTCTTCTCCATTGTAGCAAGTGTATTAATGAGCTATTACACTATATGTCTGAAAAATTCATTCAACCTACATTGAAGTGTTTTTTTTTTTTGCGAGGTACATCGAATTGTGTTGTAAGAGGTGGTCTGCTATTCCCGAGCCTCATAGAGAGGATCTACATTCTATCCATCTTTTTATTATCTACATCAAATTAACCAATCTAAACACCTCCCAAAAGTTGTTTGTTTGGCTTATTTTAATACATAGTATCAAAATGCAACAATATCAATGTTTATCCACCACTTATGCATCGTACCCATCTAAAGAAAGTTTTTATTCTTGTAGTAAAACTAAATAAGTTTTAATTGATGAACAAAACATACTCCGTCTTATTTTAAAACTTTATCTATATTTTAATTTATGAGCATTTTAATTTTTGGAGTACGAGAACTGGGCTGGGCAGCAGGACGGCAGGACCCCTCTAGCGGGTCTCGCAGAAAACGTATTCAAATGGAAGAGATTAATCGAAATAAAGCATGCATGTCTCTAGAGGCGGCTACTAACTGAGTTACGTTCTTTCAAACTCCAAAAAGTGAAGACTCGGCCAGGGCCAGGCCTGTCTGGGAGGAGGGTCCGTTGCCTCTGCAATATAATGTCAAACTTTTCCCCTCAATTATTAGCTTCTTTTTTCTAGTATATGGAGATTGGAGAGAAAGCCATATATAACGGGAGATGATCTTATCTATGAGCTGCAAAAGGAAATTTGGGGATCTAGATAATGTATGTATATATGGGAAACTAATAGTGGACTAGTGGTATTATTATTGCATTCAAACTGCCAAAAATTATTTCTTGCAAGGCTGGCTCAATACACAATTGCACTGCCAATGATTGAAATTAATTAAACACTGAAATTCCCAACATATATACTTGGACTAAAAAGTCGCAATATATCCACGTTTCTTGCGTGAAGAATTGTATTTATTATATAATAATGTAATTATATAAGGATTACTTATGTAATTTCCCAAACTGATTTTAGTATAAATATAACGTCAAGGCACCCAATAGGGTAAGCCATTATTTCCCAAAATTATTGTTTTGTATATGGTATCAGACGCCTAGGTTTTCTTTACGCTACATGTACGGCCATCCCAACCCTACGGCCGCCTCAAGCACGGCGTCCGCCATGGCGGCGCAGCCTCTCTCTCGCATACCTCCGAACACTGCCACAACGCCAACCGGTGAGTTCCAAGTCCTCTCTGGTTTGAGCAGCACTCCAGTTCCGTTTCCGCAGGCCTCCACGCCCATTGCCTCCCTCCCAGCCACGCAGACACGGTCTCCGCTAGCGGCATCAATATCGCAGCGTCTTCACGGAGTTCCACCGTTCGACTCCTACCGGTTATTCAACATGCCCGAGCCCTTTACATGGATGTCCTCAGTTTCAGCCGTTCCATACATATATGAGAAAATTATATGTGCTTCATCCGCTTTTTTTAGTCGCAACATTTTCATTCTCACGTTTGTGAGCACACAAGTTTGAAAATTAATACTCCGTATATTGTATTCCTTATTAAAATTAGCAAAAAAATTAAAAAAAGAGATTTGTAAATTTTGAAACGATAGGAATGTAATAATATTATTCAAACATGAAATTTACAAAAATAAATAAAATTTAATCAAAGTAGATCATGTGAATAAAATCTAAAGTTCGTTACAATACCAAAAAGAATGAGGTAATATATGTGAATCCATGTCAAGCTGAAGTCGGCCTATTTTAATTTGTTCTAATACTCCGTGTCAAATTCATGATAAATTGTGACAATTTCGTTGCTTTTTACCGTGAAAGAGCAGTCACAAGTGTCTCACGGCATGAATCACACTTTACGGTATGTATAAGAATTCATAACTAAAAATGTTACATAGAATAACAATTCCAATTAGAGCCGGTCAAGGCCCTCTGTATAATCAAACAGAAGACCTAATATGCTTTGTAGAACTTAATGTCGTGTGATCGGACATAAAATAGGGTTACTGTCTTCTAACTTTTGTAATATTTAAAAAACCTTTAAAAGCTTCTAGTTTTATGTTTGACATGCCAATTCTTAAGAACTTTTATAAATATAAAAGATCTTTTTTGAGATGCTACCGTGAGTATCATCTCAGATAAGTCAGTAGCTTCTAGCATTAATTAGTCATAACAGCTTGAATACCAAACATAGCTAAATCAAACAGTCAACTTTTTATGAAACAGGTACTGCCTTTTCTTTTTAAGATCTTTTCGGTCACTAAAAGTAAACAGTTAATGAAAAGCCCATAAAAGTATCTTTTCAGCTAGTTGTGCCAAACATAACCTTGTGCAATTGCACCTGCTGCACATTGCCTAGGTCAGTTGTGATGCCATCAACCATCATAATGATGATATTAATAGTATATCTTAAAGTGTTTAACACAAGAAATTATACTTATCTACGTAGTAATGTAGTGTAGTATAACATAATCATGCGCACCCAAAGTGTTTAGCACACTTTACCTATTTCACATTTTCACGAGAAGACAAAGGCGAGTAGGCTACTCTTTATCATCACCTTTCATTTAAGTCCTAAGCTAGTCCAATCCTATAACTCTCTCTATAAGACATAATAAGTCACATAACCACAAAGAATAGATAAGACCATTGAAAACAAAATAAAACTAAAGCACATATATAAAGCACATACGTATATATCTATCCCTTGATTGATCATTAATTACATCACCCATTATATTTTGCCGAAATTTATGTCCTCTAATATGATGGGAAATTAATAGTACAAACAACAATCCAATTGCCTCAATTATTGAGGCCAAATGGCAAGAGGTCACCGGCTCATTCAATTGTTTTCTAGGACACAAAAATAAATCAAAACAAGGAAAGACGCAAACGCTTCCATGTTTATAAAGCGAGTGTCACGTATTAAGCCATAGTGCCATTTCGTGGGGCTAATGACCTAATAAAGACCTTGGGTGGGACCAAAACTTTTTGATTCTGCCTTTTTGCATTAAAAGTCACAAACTTTAATTTCATTTTATAACATATAGTACTAATAACTTACTAGTGTCACGGGATTATATTGAAGATGCTTCATTTTCAACTCAATTACTTTAATTTATTATATAAGGATCGGAGTACATCGTACGTAATAAGTAACTACTACATATAAGTATATAACTAGTTGAATAACTACATATCTATAAATTATAATGAATAGTTTATTAAGGAATTACGATTAATGACATTACTATTTAATTATTTTTATTAAAAGTGCATTGAATAGCATAAGCTAAGAAAAAGATAAAGTTTAAGCTATAACTAGTAGGATAAGACTAAACACGGTATTGAGTTCTATGACATCTAAACCTATTTCCTTAAAAGCTGAAAATTTAGTTGTAAGAGCATTTCCGATACAACAATGTGTGTGGTGCACATGTGACATAATATGAAAAAGATAGATAAATAAAAATTATTAAATGTAATCTCTCTCCTTATTTTTTTTTATCATAATCTCTCTCCTTATTTAAAAAGTTTTAACAAATCTTGGTATTTTTTCTCCACCACATGTAATATCAAATATAACATCTAGATGTAGACATTTGCTTGACATGGTTGATAAAAGATAATTGAAATATAGAAAGCCGGGAAAGAAAGGGAGAAACTTCATAATTCAATTTTATGTGTCTATATATCTCATACAACATGTTCACCATATACATTATTACATTAGATTAGAAATACTCTCATGCCAAATAAATTGCAAAATTCAATAAACTATTATTTAATCACGAATTTTAAATTTTAATCTAAATTGTAAAAACGACCTCTACTGGGAATAATGTGCATTTTACCTATGAATATACAGGAAGTATTAGAGCGTAGTGTGTGGTAAGCCTTTTTATTAATTTTACTCCATCTATAACATTTCCTAAGATATACTGTACGTATGTACGATCACTACTAAAAAACTCGGTATCGTCAGGGATTTTGGTTCGACATTTGGTTCGGTTAACTAATATATATAAAGCGTGTACATTTTGGCACAGATAAATCCGTTTCTACAGTTTGTCTCGGAAAAGTCGAGTCAAAACACGATCCAAAACCGAAAAAAAAACAGAATTTTGCCTTCTCGAAAATTTGATCCAAAGGTCGTTCCAAATTGGCACGGATACGAATCCGATCCAACACCGTTTTGTACTTTCAGTGTTTGACTCGAACATATCCGAGCCAACACCATCCCAACCAAATTCCGTTCCAACTGGGATGACCTTTTCCGTGCCAACATGAACATGTTGCATTGATGAGGATCAGTGCCAATATCCGAGACAAAAATATTGAGCTAGCATCCGTGCCAAACTTTTTAATACAATTTTGTTTTTAGGCTTTTGGCTCAAACGGGTTGTCTGTGCCAAAAGATGACCGTTACGATAAATCCGTGTCTAATTCCGAGCCAAAAAGTGATCATTGTGTATTCCGGGGATACTTTTCAAACGGTTCGATCAAACAGATTTTTCGTCCCAAAATTCGTGCCAAAATAAGACCATTTTGTATCCAATTATAGTTTCCGTGCCAAAATCCGAGCCAAATAACACTATAAATCCTTGCACATTCCTAAGCCAAAAATATATCTTCTTTTATGTATACATCTACACATGAGCTATTCTTAGTGATGAGTTTTGGAAATAAAGGAATGTGGTCTCATTATGTGTTATCTACGTGGAATATTTATATTTGAATTTCTTAGACGAATTATGTTCCGGTTATAAGGTATGTAATTTTATTCGCTTTATTAATCAATTTTAATAGATCAATACATATTTCATGTCTTGAATTATAATTATTGTCATTATTTGTCTTATACCAATAAAATTTGTGTGATAAGTTTTAAAAATTTAATTACTAGCATGTACTTTCAATAAGAATAAATAAATATTTATTAATTTATTTTACATATTCAGGACCAATGAATAGAGAAAGTTGAAGTTGGATGTATAGACGATATAAAGAAAATGGTAGAGGATTGACTAAAGAGTTTACTGATGGAGTTGCTGAATTTATTAGTTTTGCACAAAGGCAAACACGATACATGGATGGAAATAAAATAAGATGCCCGTGTACAAAGTGTAAAAATGCCAAGTTTCCTGATACCGTGGAGTGGGATTCATATACGCACGGTTTTATTGATAACTATTACAATTGGACTTCTCAAGGAGAACCGATTGATACATGTCTTTTGACACAGACCTTAGGCACATCTAACTATGTTCCTAACGAGATGGCTGGTTGAGGAAGTTATGAAAAAATGCCATGGGAGCAGAAAATGCTTTATGATTTCGTCGGCCCTTTAACATTTCACAATACCCAACCAGATAATGATTTCACTTCACACAGTAATGTGAATGAGGAACCAAGTTCATCTTATTATGAGGTAGATGCGTTAGGCACTAGATTTCAAGAAGTCCTCAAAAGCGCGGATCAACCTCTGTATTATGATTGTGATGGTCATTCGCAATTATCAACGGTTTCTGAATTTTTGAATATAAAGGCTGAATATAATCTCTGTGAGAATTGCATGTCAAGAATACTACTCTGTTGGCAGCATGTTACCGCGTGATCATTGTCTACCTGATACTTACTACAACATGAAAAATTTATTCTCAGAGTTAGGTCTCCCCATGATTAAAATTCACGCTTGCCCAATGGGATGATGTTATTTTGGAAGAACCATGAGGCATTGACCCATTGTAAGTTTTGTAATGCGGATAGGTACAAACCTCGGCCATGACTCGGAAACCACGCAAAAGGTCTGCGTCATCTAAGTTGATATATCTTCCTTTAGCCCCACGGTTGCAAAGGTTGTATGCCTCAAATGCCACGGCTAAACACATGACGTGGCATGTGGAACATGAGACTGAAGATGGGTTGATATGTCACCCATCAGATTCTGAGGCGTGGAAGCATTTCGACCAGTGTTATCCACAATTTGCTTTTGAGCCACGCAATGTTTGACTTGGGTTATCTGCTAATGGTTTTTCCCCGTATGGTCAATTCGGGGGACAATTCTCATATTGGCCAATTATCTTTACACCATATAATCTCCCCCCGACAAGTGTATGAAACAACATTTTATGTTTTTGTCATTAATGTGTCCAGGACCGGGTAATCCAAAGAAGAGAATTGATGTATACCTGCAACCATTGGTAGAAGAGCTCAAACATTTATGGGATGTAGGTGTTCCGACATATGATATTTCCAGGAATCAAATATTTAATTTGAAAGCTGCAGTTATGTGGACAATTAATTATTTTCCAGCATATGGAATGCTTTCTGGCCGGAGCACCACCGGTCTGAAGGGGTGTCCTGTTTGTATGGAAAAGTCAAATGCATTTTGGCTCAAGAATAGCCGCAAGCCATGTTACTTTGATTGCCATCGAATATTCCTTCCTTAGAACCATCCATATCCAAAGGATAAGAAGTCATTTCTAAAGGGGCGCACTGAGCTTGATCCACCACCTATGAGATTGACAGGATATCAAATTTATGATCGTGTGCACTCCATCCCTACTGCCACAGATGATCCTCTTCAGTATCCGGAGGGATATATGATTCGTCATAAATGGACGAATAAAGTATATTTTGGAGTTTGATGTATTGGAAAGATCTTCTTATTAGGCATAACTTGTATGTCATGCATATTGAAAAAAATGTTTTTGATAACATTTTTAATACAGTGATGAAGTTTAAGGAAAAACCAAGGACGACCTATCATCAAGAAAAGATGTCACATTGTATTGTGATAGACCGGAAATTGCTATGAGCCCAGATTACGAAGGTCCCTTCAAGAAAGCAGTTTACTAGGTGACCGATGAACAGAAACAAAAAATATTGGAGTAACTTATTCAGCTACAGTTTCTTGATGGGTACACATCCAACTTCCATAGATGTATTGACTTAGAGAAGTTGTCAATGAAGAGTATGAAGAGCCATGATTGCCACGTCCTCATGCAACGATTACTTGTTGTTGCTATGAGGGAAAATGTTCCGGATAATGTATGGACGTGCATTAGTGATGTTTGTCAATTGTTTCAGTTAATATGCTCGCCTGTATTAAGCCGAGTTGCTTTGGAGGAACTTCAACGTAAAGCTCCCACTATTATGTGTAATCTAGAAAAGGTTTTTCCTCCATTCTTTTTTGATGTAATGGAACATTTACTAATCCATCTTCCATTTGAAGCTATGAATGGGAGGTCTTGCATTTTATCGATGGATGTACGGATTTGAGAGGTAAATTTGTTACTAATTAATAAATATGCTTTTATTATTACGTTTGGTAAATAAATTATGCTTTTAATTGTTAAGTATGCTTTTATTAGGTTTTACGGGAGTTGAAAAAAAGGTGACAAATAAAGAACACGTGGGAGCTTCTATCTGCCAAGCATACATCACAGAAGAAGTTTCTACATTTCCCCCCTTCTATTTTGAAAGAGAAGTCATGACTAAGCGAAAAAGACCTGCCAGAAATGACGATATTGATCCGGGATTGTATGACCAAATGATTTCAATCTTCAACTATCCTTGGAAAGGTTATGGTAGAAGAACGCACCGTCATGTAGTGGGAGATGAGTTCCGCATTGCACACACCTACATTTGATGAATTGTCCAGAAGTTACTCCCTTCTACAAGTATGATAATTATGAAATTACTTCATCATTTATTTCTCAATCTAACTTACATTTTGATGAACTGCCATCTTTCATTGTACTATATATTGAGTTTAGAGAATATTTTCAAGATTATTTAAGTGAGGAGGTCGATCGATGATCGCGAGTGATTTTGCATCATTGTTCAAGAGTGTGGTATGTCAATATACATTATTGAATTCTAAATATTGTAATATTCACCACCCAATTAAAATCTCACTATATTTGCAGATATTGAGTGATGATAAAAAAGATACTATTGATTCATTTTTTGTTTCACTAGCATGGGGGCCTTCAACATTAACATAGTGCTAGTCTATATACTATGTGAATGGTTACAAATATCATACCCGTGCCTACGGAAACAATAAACCCACAATGAATGGTGAAGTCAGTGTTCCGACCTGCAATTATGATAATTCAGAGTCTAATTTTTTTGGATATGTGGACGAGATACTCGAGATGAAGTTTCCAGGTCAAAATGACTTATCGATTGTACTATTCCGATGCACTTGGGTTGATTCTATGATGGGTGTGATACAACATCAAAAACATAACTTAGTCGATGTTAATCATACGCGAGTTTACAAGAAAAATGAGCCATTCATTTTCGCTCAACAGGTTGTCCAAGTATATTACGCGGAATATCCGACTACAAAGAAAAAACCTTCTGCGTTGGTCAGCGCATGCACAATTAGACCGAAAAAAATTGTTTCTAATGCGATACATAAAAACGTTGATATTGATGTTTATCAACAGGAGTTTTTCCAACCTCCAGCTCCGGAAATTTATGCGGGACATCCAATTGGAAGATCCAACTGGCGCAAAAATAGACCTCGATCCCAAGGCTGGTGTCTGGTGATCCTCCTCCAAGAGTTGTTGAAACGAGGGTACGTTAATTATATATACATGAGTAGTAATATTTGTAATAATAGTTATTTTACTTGCTAAATATAATTCTTTGTTATATTTTGCAAAAAAAGTACAATGAGCTGAAGGCCCAAGCAGACTCTGAGGGGAAGTCCTTTGACGTTGATGATATAGATTTGTTTTGCAAGGCTGTGCTGGAGTACAAGGGGCGGCGGTTTGGGACGAGTTCTGAGGCAGAGGTGCTCTCGGGCAGCATGAATTGCATAAGCCGAATCATGGGACCGAGCCAAGAAGAGATTGATGTCCGCATTCAGGAGCAGGTTGACACCCGATTTGCCCAACGAGTCAGCAACAACAGATTTGGCAAACCCAGATGGCCAACATGACGAATACGCTCATGTCGTATTTGGAACAGGTGCGGAGCGTCAACCCGAGTGTCCCGCTGACCGAGTTCTATGGCTTCTGAACACCGACCCCTCACAGAATTAACAGCTTTCTGAACGACTCTCATGAAGTGCCCATGGATGATATTTTTAATGCCGTTAATTACAATAACAATTTTTTTATTGTAACTGCTTCTAATGGCTTTTTAGCCATTTTCTTGGACTGCTTACAGTTTTATCTTTCAACTGCTTATTAATGTTAGTTTTGTTTATGTTATGCTCGTGATTGTAAATTGTGATTATTGTACATGTATGTGGTGTTGTATATGTGAATTCTGAATTGTTGTGTATGGTAAAAACATTACATTTTTGTCAAAAAAAAAACGTATAAAAAATGTAAAAAATGTATACCGTACAAAAGTACGGTATACGTTTTTATACATGATATATTATTTGGCACGGATTTATCCGATCCATGAACCGATATAAAACTGAGTCAGTTGGGTTCTTATTATCCGAGGCAAATTCCTAGACAAAAGATATCCGTGCCAAATTTTGAGGGATTTGGATGCTAAGTTTGGAACGCAAAATTCTAGACAAAGGTCGTGCCAAGTGCTGACTCGGATCCTATATTCCGTGCCAACACGTTTGGATTGACCCAGGTGACACAGAAATTTTTCCCGGGCCAAAACCGAGCCAAGAGCGATAGTCTGAGAATTTTAAAGGGTTATCCGAGCCAAATTCCGTGCCTATACCGAGGTTTTTTAGTAGTGAACGTAATTATTTAGTAAAATTGAGATGAATCTTTAGCCAAAAATAAGTAGGTGAATTCTACGGTATCTCACAAATAAATGAGAATATCGTACCTGCATTAGATTTAATTGATCCAAGTTATTATCTCATCATTGATTCATTTTTAAAATGTTCGATCAATTGCAATATACGTAGTATATTCTAATTGAGAATATACGTAGTATATTCTAATTGAGTGTACGATAGAATTTATCAAATATGTAAGTTAAAAGACACTTAATCATATGATTATTTTGACTATTATGCTCAATTGGCTACCAAAAAGACACTTAACTTTGCTAGATGCATTATGCATTTTATTAATTAAAGATATAAATAATATTAAATATATATCATGCGCTTATAGAAGTGTTTGAGTGCTTTGCCACCCCTATATAAATAGATTAAGCATGCACCTCGTCATTTCATTGTCAAGCAAATCTAGCTTCTTAGCTGTACTCTTATCTTCTAATCTAAACATCAGTTATAAGCTCTAGCTAATTGTACGTACTTGGGAATTGAAGCATGACTATTTTCTCGGGTGATCATGATCATTGGACTCTTGCGTTTGGCATATGTGGTAATTTAATTAGTTTAATTACTACTTATTGTGTTATATTAATTATTTTATTTTGTTATCAAACTGTTTTACAGTAGTTATTATAACCACCAACAGTGTTGTTTCAATTGTTGCATATGGCCTCCTTTACTTACTACATGTATTTCGATCAACAAGAGGTGTAAGAAGTTTGTCATCATTGAATATAATATAATGATGAAGAATTGTAATTGTGTACCTCACTTTTGGAGTGATATTGAACTTCACATTTTATTTTAAAAAATTAGACTTTGCATCCTATCATATAACATTTTTGTGATGAAAAGTTTCTGAATGAGTTACAAAGTCAAAGACTTTTTAAGGAAAACAGGATGCAACGTCTAAGTTTTTTGAAAATGAGCTACAAAATCCAATATCAACCAAAAAGGCAGGTGAGAAGTCAAAGTATCCCAGCCTATAATGATGTGTCATTAATATTCTCTAAAAGGGGTAAAGTTAATGGACTTATATACTTTTCCCGCGAGGGTCAATGCTTAATACTATATATATATTTTCTAATTTATATGTATATTTGTATATATATATTTACATATATACTACTCCGTAGAATAAATAGCTAGATGGGTCTCACGGGCCCATCCAGTCATCCCCTCCTCTCGACTATTACTTAATTTCCTAATGATTATTGTAATATTTCATATTCAGTATATCTCGCGTATACATTTTAGTAATGAATGTTCAATAGTTTGTACTCCTTTTGTATCAAAAAGACTATTCATGTTTTCTTTATAGATTGTATCAAATTAATTTTTTCATTTTTTGGGGAAAGAAACTATAAATGGAGCTACAATACACTTTAATAAAGTACTAGTATATGGTATTGCGAGAATACCAAAACCTCTCAATTTTTGTAAAGTATACAGTAAATTCATAAACTATTTTAAGTTATGTGAAAAACCAAATGAGATATTTATTTTGATATGGGGAGAGTACTAGATTGGGTACTTGTTCCAGGTCTAGTAGCACTTTCAACTAGAAATTTCTCCATCTGAATATGTTTTGAAGCTTTTAATAATAAAAATAGTTCGAAGAGTTTAATTTTTCAAAGACTGGATTTCATATTCGAATAAACTTGTATGTAATCATAAAAAAGTGGGTGTTTATTATGCGCTAGTTAAAGTAAAATTCAACTATTATTCTATAGGATTACGTTTCCCACTTTAAAAATTGGTCATAAAATACTTTAATTTTCAAATCTAGTTTAAATAGGCACATCAAATAGACCATAAGCAAAAAAAAAAAGATCTCTGGATTTCAAAGTGTAGACAACCGCAACCTAAAAAGTTTAAAAGCTCTTGTCGCATGCGGTAAAGGAATATTTAGAATTGAAGTCCTGCCTACCGCCTCCAACTATTTCTCATTCAACTCAGATTTTAGTACTTTTAAGGATTATTTTAATTATTTTATAATTTCAAAAATAAGTTCTAACTGGAGAATCACAATTCAACTATAATGTTAGCAATGTTTTATACTCCATCAGCCCAAATAGTTCCAAAGTTTAATTTGAATTTTTGGTTATACACTATTTTATATTATGTATACTTCAAAGCAAAAGTATGTAAAAAGTACTCGTAAGTTTTTTTGTGACACACCTTACTATTACTTTTTGTGGAAATGAGAAGAACTTTATTTTGGAAAATCCAAATACTAGTAAAAAAAAAGTGACAACTTGTTTTGAGCATGGAAATATATTTTGGAGTATACTTTTGGATTAATTATCAAAATAGGAGTAAAAGTCACTCACTTTGCACAAATAGGACCAAAAAATAAACTATGTTTTCATAGGACTAATTATGTGTGTCTTGGACAAATATACCTTTATAGCTATTGAAATGTATTAATTCATAATAAAATAATAAAAAATAATAAAAATTCATAAAAAATACTAAAAGATTAATAAAAATATTTCGATAATAATATTTTATTTTTTTTATTTATTTTTAAAAAATGATTTTTTAAGAAAAGAATAAAAACTCAAAAAAACAAAACACTGCCGCCTCTGCCGCCTCTGCACCACCACCTCCAGTCACCAGGGGACAAAAATGAAAAGTTCATTACAAATGCCATATTTATGGCAGAAAACAATGAAAATGTTGACATTCTCAAAGAGAAATATGCCATGTTTTTGGCATTTTCAGGAAAAAAATGGCAGTTTTTAGAAAAAATGACATTTTTTCACTGGCCTGAGATGGTGTTGCAGGGAGGTAGTAGAGGCGGTGGGAAAGGCATCCATTTTTATTAATTTTTTATGGAGTTTTAATATTTTTTTATTAATTTTCAAAAAAAATAAAAATTAAAAGAAATTAATTTTTTATTTTACAAATACTTTATAATTTTTTTAATTATTTTTCTACGATTTTTTGAAATTTTTTCGAATTTATTATGAATTAAACATTTAATCAACTCATATTTAAAGGAATGGTAAGAATGGAATGAAAAAATAGGTATGTTTCCAATAGGACTAATATGGTCCTATTTTGAAAAGAAAAACATAATAAGTCATATTTTGAGTTTTTGCCATAGTTTTAGTCCTATTTAGAGTAATTTCTATATACTTTTCTTTCCACACAAGTTTAGTTTGTACTTCGTATGTGAATTGATATTTTTTTCTTCTTTTTCAGAGTTACATCTTGTATTCGTACTTAGCCAAATGAAATGTTTTTTAAATAAAAATTGATATTATTAACCTTTGCTTTGCTGGAAATTAACAGGAAATATCATATCCTTCTTCGTATTCCTTGCTCCAATGTGAGTACTCCTTAGCTTGCTCATTTAATTTTCTTCCGAATATATAATTTAATGAAATACTTAATTCTGATTTAATTATTAGTAATTCAGTAAATATGGCTTTGACATTATATTCCATGCATGCATGCATGCAGGCCTACCTTCTATCAAATATACAAAAAGAAATCTACAGTGGGATTTCAATCAATACCATATGTGGTTGCTCTCTTCAGTGCTATGCTTTGGATTTACTATGCTTTTCTCAAAACCAACACCACTCTTCTCATCACAATCAACTCCTTTGGCTGCTTCATCGAAACCCTCTACGTTGCCTTCTATCTCTTCTACTCTTCAAAAAAATCCAAGGTAATTAATTAATTAATTAATTTTCAGTTATTATTAATTAATTACTTTTCAAGTATATTAAATTTGTAAAATATGAACAAATTAGAAACACACAAACATGTAAAAATCTATGTATGGACTATGGTTGGCTGAACTGAAGCCTAGAGAAACTATTTTTTTTTCATTTTTTTAGTGGAAATCTTTTCATTTTCATATTTAACCCATACTTTAATTTTCTTTCCATTTAAATATACTCTGTATGTACAAAGTCACATTTATCTTTTTCCTCATGCCCCTCTACCCGGCCACAAGTGATCATTAAAGGTAAAGTGTCATGTTATCAAACTTTATTAACTTTTGAGTCCAAAAAAGTTGACACTAAGTTTGACACTAAATATGATTAAAGAATCAGTGAAACGGATGTAAAAAATGAGTATAGTACGCCGGATGGAATAATTATATTTTAAAATTTTGAATTGTTTTAATGGGATGGTTCAAAGAAAAATGGAGTTTAACGTGTAAGAGGCGAAATTGTCACTTTTAATTTATAGCGCCACATTGCACGAAATTGTAAATTTGTAAAATCGTCCCACTTATTTACAAAAATGTCACTACACTCCCTCCCAAATTTGTACGTGTTACAATCCGTCTCACTGAACTTTGATAACTTTCTTTTTTTCTTTGTTTAAAGAAACTTTGTCGCTCTTCTTTAAAAGTAGTGAACTTCAAAATTTGTAATTCATTTTCATTTCTTTCTTCTCTGCACAAACCTCGACAATGTAGTCTTATTATTTTAGTTTCACACCGCTCATAAAGTTGAGTGAGACAGATTTAGTATATAATATCATCCGTTCTGTTTTAATCGCAACATGTTGAATTTTACACTATTCGCATGATCTACTTTGATTACATTTTACGCTATTATTTATGAAAATTATTGTTTTTTAAAAAAAGTGTTCAATTCATCTCAATACAAATTTTCAATATCTGATGTTTAATATAATTACGATCAAAGACGTGTGTTGTCAAATGTGAAATGTTAACCGACTAAATGTATGAGATGGGTAAGTTTGGAATAACGTTTTGCAGATACAGACGATGAAGTTACTAATGTTGTCGGTAGTTGGAGGATTTGGTGCCATAGTTGTTGTCACACAGTTCGCTTTCAAAGGTGCGATTCGTGCACAAGTGGTGGGGTGGATTTGCCTTGTCTTCTCTTTGTGTGTCTTTGTCGCTCCCTTATGCATTCTCGTAAGTCTACACCTTTTCCTATACGTACACATACGCACACGTGTACGATTAACACACATTCTTTTGGCTAATAATTCCAAATTTTAATTATTATCGCATGTATGTGAAATTTAAAACTTAAGTTGAACATATCTAATTGAAAATTTTTTGTTAAGATTTTAGATTTCAGGTTAATTTGAAACGAGAAATAACTCAAAATCTTATATATATATATAGTGTTTAACGGAATACTATTTCATAGTTTAACACATTCACATATAATTTCACGTTTTACCTTTATTCGTCAAACTTAACCGATATGAGAGTTTTATTTTAGTTTGTATAGATGTAATAAATATATACACTCATTAAAGGGAGTCATTTCTAACATTCTGTCTTAGGCTATCCGCAATGGGGAGGGGTGAATCCCCAAATCTAAGGTTTTCACCCAAAATATGGTGCAATCTTTTTTTTTTTTGTATTAGAGGGTCCTAGATTGAGTTGGGGAAACTCAAGGGAGGGGGAGGCAAGACCCTTGTTCACTCCAAGAGAGAGAGGCAGACCCATTTAAAACAAAAAACTCAAATCATTTTAAACTATATCATAACTTTTTTATCTGTAATCTAATTTTTTATAAAAAAATATATCAAAATTCATAAATTTTTATGATCTTTCATATGACACCAATATTTCATATATAAAGCTTTTAAAAAAAATGAAATTTCAATTATTTGAAATTTTCATGCACAACATTTTTTCAAAAATACCCGAAAGCTAAAATTTAGGTGCAATGTTTTTTTACATTTTCCTATAATTTTTTAATAAAATTAGTTTGAAGTTATAAAAAAAATCAAACTCCAAATTTATTTATTTTTGCGTCGAAATGGTTTACTCTTGAAGTAATAATTATTCATGAAAAAGAATTGGCAAAAGAATAATGTATGATAATATAAGTAAGCATTTCATTGAAAAAAATAAGTTCTGAGTTAATATATTGACAACGCTGAGTTTCAGAAAAATATTGAATTGATCGAATGAATACAAATAAATTGTTGAGAGATTAAATTTATTGATGGAATGGGTTGGTGGTAGCCTTACCGTCTTTAGTTTGTGGTCCGTATTATTGTCCGCATCACTCAGTATTACGGATGATGGTAACACACACAAAAAGGCGACTTTGACTAATAAGAAACATAGCTAGAGCCTAGAGGTTAATTGTGAAAAAAGCGGCTCTACGATTCTACATAATTGTGAAAAGAGCAGCTCTTATGTTTGGATTGTGGCGTCTTTAATTTTTTCATGGATTCATCATTGTCATTTTTTTGTAATCATATCATCATTTTCTATAAGGGACTCACATCATGGCTATGGATCGAGTTGACTCTGATATTATATTAAGATCTGAGGTTCCATTCTAAAAGATCAATTTTATAGAAAGAATAGCTCAGATCTTAATATAGTGTTTAATTTTGTCAGAGATATCTAGTGTAGGACTTTAACAACACACTTCCTTAGTTCCTTTTTAATTGCAATGTTCGACTTTTAACACTTGCCAACACACAAGTTTGATCATTATTATCTTTCATTCCTTATTAGTAAAAAATTGAAAAATTAAGATTTTTGAAATTTTAAATGAGAAGAATTTAAAAAAAAATTAAAAATTTAATTTATAATACATTAATAAATAAAATATAGTCAAAGTAGAACATGTGAATAATGCAAAAGTCTAATATTGCAATCAAAAGAAAACGGAGGCAGTATTTTACTAATAAATTATGGGTTGGTATGCATATATAACTTATTTACGGAGTTCTTTTTTTGCATATACTCCCTCCGTCCCATAAAATAAGTCTCATTTTCCTTTTTGGACCGTCCCAAAAAATTGTTCTCATTTCCCTTTTTGGAAAGTTTTGTGTGGCTAACATTCATTTACCTTTTTCTTACTCAACCACAACCATACATTTCCACTTTATTCCCACTTTCTTAAACTCCGATCCAAGTCAAAGTGGGACTAATTTTCCGGGACGGAGGGAGTAACTATTTACGGAGTTAGATATTTGCTTATTTAATCGAGCAATTCAATCTATATTTTACTTTTCAATAATAACATAAATTTACTTAGTTATTACTTATTACGGAGTATATATGTGAAATTTAAAACTTCTATCTTTTATAAAATTGTTTCTAATAAAGAACATCCACATAATTTCACATTTTAACTTTACCGGTCAACTTAACCGATAATAAAAGAGTTTTTCCTTAATATTACTAATAAGAAATTATGGGCAAAAATATTACTCCGTAATATACAAAATATGATATGATGTACGAGTGATTGAAGAAATCCAAATCTACAATTTATTAATTTCAACACTAAAAAAAATCTACAATTTATTTCATTAAATGATATCCATGTGGTATTATTATGTATGTATGGGTGCAGAGGCATGTTGTCCGTACGAAGAGCGTGGAGCATATGCCATTTCTGCTATCCGTTTTCCTCACAATGAGTGCTGTTGCCTGGTTCTTCTATGGTCTTCTGCTAAAAGACTTCAATATTGCAGTAAGAAGCTAAGCCATTCATTTCTTTCATTTAATTGTATCATATATTCTGTACAATTATTCCCTCATTTAAACTTTGCCCACACACCTTTTCCCACATATAAAAATAGTAAAAATCATGTTGTTAAATTTTTTGAACAAAAGTATCACAAGATTAATCATAAATTCACTACTCTAAATGTAAAAATATAAGGACAGTTGATAAAGCTGAGAGAGGAAATTTCAACTTTTACCCTTACAAGTTTGTCCATATTTTGTATTGAAGATAATACATAATTGTTTGTATATTAATCATATCAAAAGGCAAAAGCCACTAGAGAAGTAATGCTCACATGTTGATTTAAGTCGTAGCAGACTATATTAGATTTCATCAGATCAGATCTAAACTGATGAAATCCGATCATCAAATTTGAATATATCAGGTTAGATCAGACGAGACCAAATCGAGCTTCAATAATTATCAAATACATATAGAACAAATGTCTACCGCACTAGAAAATTTCAATCTCATTAAAAGCACGCTTAGTACTTGCAATTAATCTCGAAGAACGAGTAATAGAAATGAAACAATAGTCATCCACTAGGTATCAAATACTCCCTAGGTCTCACAATTATCTTCTTTTTTCATCCGTTTCAAATTAATATGCAATTTCCTTTTTTGAATAAGATATTGACATATTGTATTTGTTACACTTTTGTCTCTCCTTTCCAACCACACTTTACCACACCATTTTCACTTTCTTAATTTATCTTGGCAAAAGCAAATTGAAAGATTAGACAAATTAAACATAACTAATTTGGTATCTGTTTGACTCGATATTTTCTTAATTAATTCAGATACCGAACGTATTGGGATTCATTTTTGGGATTCTTCAAATAGTGTTGTACGCCATGTATAAGAACAGCGCCGCAAAGAAGCCAACGATCATTGCAGAGCAGAAAGAGGAACAAATGGTGATAGATATTGTTAAGCTGGGCTCCTTGGTTTGTTCCGACAGTAAAATCATCACAAATAATGCGGCTGCTGCAGCTGCTCCTTCCGCCCCCGCCGCCTGTGGAGTTGAGGCGGCGGCCGCTGTGATGAATGATCCGATGAAGATGGCAAATACCGCCGCTACTCCGCCGCCTCTGGTTACGCCGTGCTGTTGAATGGAGCTTAATTAATCATTACTCCGTATTATATTTTGATGTGTCGATCTAAATATTATATGTTTCTCTGTATGTATCGAGTATATATATCTCCTCGATCTTATTAATATAATCATATCCTGAAGCTAAGCCACACTGTATGTATAGTATAATGTATGTACACATCGATCAAATATAATGTTGCTTTGATTTCATGATGTCAATTAAATAACCTGCTATCTGATCTCATGATGTCAATATTGGTACCATTTGCGCTACCAAAAATTAAAACCAACTTATTTTATATAAGGGCCTCATCATAATGCGTAATGGACTCAGGCCCGTAGCCAACATGATCTACAAAGCATTGAAATATCTTTGATTTGATATAATATCGCTCTCGGATCTCTTTACGAGTAAAAGTTACGACCCCTAAAAATCATTACCATCTAAACTTGAAATGAACAAAAGTGGATGTTTAATAATGATTTTAATTTAAAATTTGAAAATTAGCGTATACTCCGTATATCATTATTTATGTGACTTCTATAATGTATATGACATATTGTGTGACACCGCACTTGGACATCCTTGGAATTATAATTTAAAACTCAAAGTCAATGTATTGATTTTCCGTATTAGCAAACATTTGTAAAACGATTAATGCCTTATGATTAATTGTACTATCGTTTGGGCTCGTATTATGAGGATGAATTCTAAATACCTAATTGGGCCATCTTAGCTGATATAAGAGTCCAATACAATATAAATAAAATTCAAATGAATACAAAGAGTAACCATGACAAGAGTACTAAACAATATGACTCAATTATTCCATCTTTGAAAGTATTGGTAGATATTTTTCTCCCAAATTGTTTGAGACCGAAGGGGGTCTGTCGATTGAGACTAAAATGACAAGACATGAACCCCCATCCTTACATAATTGGTGAGACATGGTGTAGAATCATCCACATACCACTCATCCCACTCCACACAAAGTAACTAGCATTTAGACAGGTCTAAGAGCCCTCAGGACTTCCCATATGAGCTCCCAAAGCTTAGACAAGAAGAGAGCTATGCAAAATCAAAGAGAGCAAGTAAAGGGAAAACTATCAACAGAATTTATATCAGTGCGCATGGTTGATTGTTCACCCCATATCTCGAGCTTCACTTGTCCAAATTAGGCGTGTGAGGAATCTAAGAAAGAACTCAAGACGAGGATTCTGGGGAGGTGTGGTTTGCAACGAACCGAGTTGTGGAAGATCTCCAAATCATCGAAGGAAGACGCTACCCTGCAGAACACATTTTCTTCTATACACTGAGTTTGAATCCAAAACCTTTCTTTTAGTTATCAAAATCATATGAATGATTGAGGAGACTATTATACATTATTACAAGTGTAGAATATGTTCTTGAGAGGGTTATTTATGGAGGTAAAGGGAAGATACTAACCTAGAACAAACCTTGAAAGGTTGGGAAGCAAACTCGCCGGAAAGCACCCTGTCTACGGACTGTTTACATACCGTTGGTTAGGGGACGAGCTAGCACCTTGAGGAGGCTGCCTAGAACCCAATTTTAAGCAAGGAATGAGTTCTCAACCTTCCTTGGCCGAAACTTTGACCATTGGATTGAGAGAGAAAAGTCCAAAACTCATTTAAGGTGAGCATCGACATCTAGTTGCTTACAACTTGGAGGTTAAACATAAGAATAATGATAATAATAATAATAGTATTGAGATATTAGTTAATGATTGTTTGTGAATGTTAATAAATTAATCCTAAGACTCGGATTGTATGTGATACACTTCAATATACTTCGAGTGCCTAATTGACATGGTATGAAGCTAAGATCAAGCTATGGGCTGTCCTTAAGGATGACCCAAAGTGATTTATTGTAAATGACAATACTAGGCATAGTATTGTTAGTATATATGTCCTAGCGACAATCATTTTTTTTTAAAGACATATGTACTTGATCACATTTAGTTTTTATATTTGATGATATAAACACGGTATTACACTTTATGAATGATTGTTTTTCGATTGTCAATTTTCATAATTGTGTTCCCTTGGATTTATGTTGTCAATAAGTAAGTGAGAGCTTATATGATATAACATAAGGTCCTAAAATAGCCCCAATCAATGATCATCAAGAATGGGATATTGATGATATGCGATAAGATTGGTATGTGGACTGCATCATACTTTTAGAAAGTATAGTTGATCTCACGACTATGAGTTCCTGTAATTCATGATGGTCACATAGATATTTTAGAGAATATTGGCATACCCACCGAGAAACCATTTGATAAGTTCTATTCATGTGTCTATGGGATTATCGGCATATAAAGTAGTGTAATAGTCCTCCGACTTGAGGTCAATACGTACTACATGTGCGGAGTGATGTACTTTGACCATGACAACGCTTGCACTCCAATCGGGGTAGATACGGCATGTGTTGGGTGCATCACGAAGCACATGGAGTAGTAGTTGAGCCAAGAAAGGATTCATTCCTCATAATAGATTAAGAGAGAACATTCTACTTCTCATATCTAGATGGATCATAAAGTCATTGGCCAATGCAAAGATATATTCGTTTTGGATATCGAATATGATCATTATGGATCATCTAGAAAGATTGAGAGACAGAGACTGAGTTATTGGGATAGACACAATATCATGTTCCAAACTTAGTTGAATGTTCGTTGAATGAAAGGACCGTATCACTATGAGCTCTATATTACAGGGAGTTTGAATAGTCCTCGCAAACGTCCTTATATATTAAGTTTGTCTGGTAAATCGTCTAGGCATTCTACTAAGACCTTAATTTGATTAGTGCTCAATATATAAGGCCCTATGGGTCACACAACAAGTGATTATACCTTCCGATTGAATTGTTAGAAGAAATTAAATATTATAAATTGGATAAAATAATATTTAATTAGTAATACTGAAAATGAATTAAATATTAATTAGATTAAACATATTTAATTCATGAAGTTGAAGGAGAGTTCTGTTTGATAGAATTAATTAAGTGGAATAAATTAGATTTATTGTACTTGATTAAGATTTATTTATTATTAAATAAAGTTACTATTTACTTTTATGATTTGGAACTAAAAGGAAAAGAAAAAGAAAATAAATAATAATATATAGATATAACAAATAGAGAGTGGCGTGCCACTTCTCTATTGTTATTAATATTATTATTAATTATTTTGTTTTATTCAACTATTTAATTAAATAATGAGTTTTGGTCCTAATAGGATTAAAACTCATTAATGAAGAACACTTTCATTGTGATTGGGAAACTAGGTTAGAACTAGTATAAATACATCATTCTCCTTCATAATTGATAGACTAGTTTTCAGATTCACTATTACCAGTTTATTTTCCTGTGAAGAGATTTCCCAGTCTTTCTCTTAGGGAGATCTAACCGTTCTATCAGAAAGGAGAAATCACGTGGATACCAAAGGTCAAGGATTATCACCGCTAGGCTGGAAAATCTGTAAGTTATAACTCAGATATGTTATTATTATCATATTCGTTATTTTGTCATAATCAGGGAAGATCTGTTTGGGAAACTTTTAAACTTCCGCTGTCGTACTTTCGAGGTACGTTACATCAATTTCCTAACAAGTATTTGCTTAGGAATTGGGCTATGATGCATGGTGATGTTATAGAGCCGAGATCTAGGAATGCATGGTAAGATAATAGGCTTGTGCCCTATGAATTGCATGGTAATGTAATAGAACCGAGCTCTAGAATGCAAGGTGATGTATTAGATCCGAATGGTATGAATTGCATGATGATGTAGTAGAGCCGAGCTCTAGAATGAAATGTGAAGTATTAGATCCAAATGGTATAAAAGCATATGTTCTTGCTATTAATATTTGAAAAATAATAACATTATTTCCAAAAATGACGAGACATAATTTAATACGACGTATGTTTTGATTTCTTTTTTTATAGAGGCACACGTGTCCCCAATGGAAATGTCAATATGTGGACACAAGTTTGATTTGGTATTTTGTATAATGTTATATGTCTATGTGTACAAATATAGGTTGACTATGAAACATAGATGTTATCATCACCGTTATCACTCCCAACTCGACCCCAAATAATATCTATCAGGTCATCACAATACTTTATTTCATATGCTTACTAGAGATGAATATTAACTTATTGGATCAGAAATATTATTGATTTTACACCAGTGACACTATTAACTCAAATTCATTAATGCACTTGCCTCTTTATTGCTACATATTTAGGGTTGTTAGACTGAAATATCAAAATGACGCACATGTCCTGCACATTTTAAACCTCATATTGATATTACTACAATATTAAAATTATATTCGTATATTCTTATAGGATGTTTGGGAACGATCCTTGCTCCGGTTACAGGCAGAGATATGTCTCACGTCTCTTTTTAAGCACCTATTATGGTAAAAAATATGCATAAACCTTGTGTGTAATTTCACACAACTCAAATATATTAATCATTAACATTCCATTATGTCAACCTTAACAAAATAACTTTGAGCACTTTCCTTTCGCGCATTGCGCGCCGTACCACTGGTAGTGTATATAAGCTAGAAAATGAAAACCTCTCCTTGATTTGTTTGGTTTGATTTAGGGATCCGGACCACTCTTTATTTATGTATATTTTCCTTGAGAGATCTTGTAATTCGAACTCATATCCATACATGTTTTTACAATTCTTTCTTCTCCATTAGCTCAATCTCTTTTTAATAATTTGATATGAGTGACGATTATCTCACCAGACATTTTAGACATTTCTCATTTTAAATGCATGAAGTCAAGTATATCTTAAAGTAATTACAAGACACCAATCATAACTGAATTTGTGATTAATCCTACTTTTTTATTGCATCGGTAACCATTTCAGGTATCTCTAAAAAAAGTAACAAAATAATTACCTAACTCTATACCAAAGTTTTAATTTTTTTTACCATTGATCCACAACGGTAACCCGCACGGGTAGCTCAGTTGGTCGAGTGGTGGGAGATTTAGATCAATGGACCAAGGTTCGAATCCCCGCAGCGACCGAGTGGAGGTCACATAACCTGAAATAAGGTTGAGCCTCTGGTGCGCATGAATGTATGGGCCTACTGTCATTCTGCTGACTGAATCTCCGTAAATAACCTCCCCGACATCCTGTCGGGTCGGGGTGGAGGCTCCTGGGGTGGGAGATTCCACCTTTTTTAATTTTTTTTACCAAAGTTTAGAATAGGTTTGTAAAAATCTTTCTAAATTAACAACGCCCATCAATTAGGGATTAAAATTTTAAAAGTACAGATGACTCTCATCTCTCCTTTCCTCAGCCACGCCAATTCCCAGGGCCAGTTGTATTTGGAACATTTGGGAGAAGATGCAAAGATGGTGTTCCAAGCTCCGATCCTTAGCCGCTCTGCATTCAACTCATCACAAAGCCTATTTTTTACCGCATCCTCCTCTTCACTCTTCTCCCTACCTCTTTCAAAAATCCATTTTTTATACCGTTCTTCCTTCCAACTTTAAGCATATTCCCTATGGCTCCATTTCAGCTCCTCCACTTCCACTCTCCGCTCACTCTTTTCACCACCCTGCATCCGTAAGTTACAATTTCTCTGTCGCCTAATTTGATTTCTTGTATTTGTGTGATTTCACCTCTGAAGATGTGCATTTGTTGGCTCTATCAGTTTCTTGTTCGGTAATGGTAAAATGGGACGTTTTGATTCCTTAGGGTGTTCACTTCTCAATCCCAAAGTCCATAGCTTGAAATACAGGTCCATTTGTCATTTTGTCATGAATGTTTATGCAGCTTGATGGAGGCTTAATTTTCTACACAGTAGTTCTGTTGTCAGCTACTCAATGGCTCAATGTACTGCCAATTTTTTATCATCTGATTACAATAATATAAAAGGCTGTCTATAACCCTGAGCAAGGAAGTGTACAATACAGCAAGGGGCGTAATGATCTGCTACTTGATTTCCAGAATAAACTTTTACAGAATTGAATTTAGGATTTTATTGATGGTGATTTACATGTTTTTATGCCCATCATTTTCTCAGTTCATGCAAGTGAGGCATATTACTGCAAAACAAAGGAAAAGGAAGTTGAAGAGTAGGAAACCAATGACTCCAGTCGTATCTAAAGTGAAGAAAATAAAAATCAAGGGCTATTCGTATGTATAAGTCTTTTCAAATGCTTCAAATGTGTTTGCATTGTATACATGTATAGACACCCACACATATGCATGCAGTGTTGGCAACTAATTTGTTTTCAATTTGTTGCATTAGGTCTTTTAAAGGCAGGTTTAGAGTGATGAAAGATGGTCAAATAAGGCGTTGGAAAGAAGGGAAACTTCATAATGCCCATTCAAAGGTATGACTATCATATAAATATTGGTGATGTTAGCACTGAATACTGATATTTGGAAATATGATATTTGGAAACATGATCTAATATTCTAATGTGAAAATGGTTATATTCATTATCATCATCATCATTACTCCCAATGTCGCAAAGGCTCCCACCTACGGTGAGGTAAGGGGGGTCGGATGTACGCAGTCTTCCCCATGTACAGCTGTACTAAAGCACAGAGAGACTATTTCCGGAAGACCCATAGTGAAAAATGCATTGAAAATTGCAAGAACTGAGTGCTGCTTCATAACAAAGAAGCGCAGACAGTCTATGAGACATTATGCTTTATTCCCTCATATTCCCAAGTTAAAAAATAGTGAGTCTTTGGTTCCTTTGCAAATGATGGAAATAATGGTTATCATCATATGATTTATATTTTTTAAAGAATTGTGGTGATTTGTTTGGTTGTCCTTTTAATTGTACTCTAATGAGAATTAGATTTTAGAAGTAATATTAGTATCATGTGAATATATAGTTACTAGATGTAATGTTAAGTTGATTTATTCTAGTGATAAATCTAGTAATGGTGTAACGTTTTAGAAATTTGAGATTGAGAAATGTTGCTTTGGGGAAGGTTGAAATTAGCTGTTCAGATCAAGCTACCTGAAATCTCAGCTCATGGTTTCAATTCCTTATTATTTGCATAATCTATGGTCAATGCAGGTTTGAGATTCCATTTTTTCTTTTGTGATGTTGGAGTGCATCATCATTAGTTGCTTCAAGATTTTAGGTGTATTATGTAGCATGCAATATCTGGATACTAAGATGTTTGCTCGGCACATCTTGTTTAGATCCCATCAAGGAATAGAATCAACGGATAGGAAACAAAGGCAGTTCTCAAAGGTGCTGCATATCTGTGCAGGCAAAAAAGTTAAGGTTGAATGAAAATGTGAATTGAATATCAGGTGGTAAGATTGGTGCAAGGAGAGACTAACATGGAAGATATATATTTTCTTGAGCTATATCTTTTATCTAAATTAGCTAGTGTCGCTGTTCAAAAATCGGGATAGGCACCTTGGTTTTGCCTAGTCAGTAAGAAAAATCAACCAGCCAAATAGGTTTCTAGGCGTCCCGAACGGCTAGTTAGATCTCAGTCGAGATGATATTCCCCATTCGGCCCCATTGACATCGTTTGATCATCCAATATTCTATTCCTATTTAAAATCTATATTATTTTCTATTTTCAGAAAAAAATACAGTTTTTGAATATTTATATAACTATCACAATGACTAGAAATACAAAACTTTTGTTTTGTTCTATGTTTTTTATAAAATATTTCATATTTATTATTTTACTACAAAATATAACATTTAAGAATTGTATGAGCTGTTTTTATTGCTAAAATATAAAACCCATTGATTAATAATACTAGAAATCTTAAAAAAATAATGTGTGTGTATAAGAGGGAGATTTAGGCCCTTTAGGTGGTCTAGAAGCTAGACAGTGGGCCACCGCCTGACTACCGCCTAAAGCCTTTTATAACATTGGCTTGTGATAATTAAGAGTACACTGGTAATGAAATGGGCTGATGGCTCCCAGTGAAATATGGTTAGCAAATTGAGATTAGAATTGTGAATCAGAAGTACTAATTTTCAAATAATGAATATCATACTCCATCTTACTATGAAAGTATGATACACGTGCAATATATTTATGAGTAAAAACACATGACTTAAGCAAAAAACATAAGTTGATATAGAAAGTCTAAAAGTTTCTTGAGACATTTTCATAAAATGAAACCTTAGTGGGAGACTTGTAGAATTTTTATTAGTTATTACAAATCAAAGCACCACTGCAAATTTCCCTGATGGACTGAACTAATATCCTAATTTGTCTGTCTTTCCCAGTGGCAGTGCCACAGAACTGCATACCATTAAAATGCACTTTTAAGGGCACAAGGGAGGCATCACTTAGTTAGGCAGCCGCCCTCACCACAAACATCCAATCACAAATTTCCTGAGCTGAGAGAGTGTGATCTGTTGTTTCTTTCTCGCTAGTTTAGGAGGAAGAGAGAAGAAGTGCAAAGAACAGGTGTACAAGGGAGAAAAGAACATTAACAGATGAAAGTACATGAGATGAAGCCATAACCTTATTGGTGGAGTCTATTGGTTTTATGTTTCCATGGTTTTCCAAAGGTCACCTGAAATCTATCTTGATACCATTCTCCATTGTTGGTTGTTAACCAAAAATAGATAGTATGTCCAAGACCATATAAGAGAGCAGAGCAATAATGGTGGGAAGGGTTCTATGTTTCTATATTTACAAACAGTGAAATAGAGGCTACCCATACTAAAGTGATGAAAATGGGTAGCGCCAAAACATCAGAAAGTGACCAAATAAAGTATGGGTGTTTTTTTGTTTGAAAGGTTCTCAATGAACAGTTTGAAAGAGAGTTGAAGTAATTTTACATCACGAGGATCTCAGATTCTGAGCGAAAAACAATCCTTTTAGATGGTGTAGGATTAATGAGTAGGTGCATAAGTTCACCGTTTTCCTTCCTTTTTTCTTGAAAGCGTAATTTGCAAGGAATTGTTGATACTAAAGTATTGCCAACACCCTTCCCCAACCTTAGGTTCATAAGTAGTGCCATCTCATTCTGTTTGAGCAGTACTGTATTACTTGAAAATGTTACTAAACTCACTTTTTAGATTGTTTAACAAAGTAGTGCATCTTCCTGCAGTCCAAAAGTGCTAAACGTAGGCTGAGGAAACCTGGTACGGTCCCTTTGGCTTACGCAAAAGTGATGAAGAAGCTCAACTTCTCTGGTTGAATCATCTGGATTATCATTCTATGCTGCCTCCAGTTTGGACAGCTTTTCTTGCAGTCCTTGTTCCTTCCCATTTTTAACAGTGTAGGTAAAACATGCTTGTTTACTTAATTTGAGCAAAGTGAGCACTTCTTTTCAGAAATTGTTCTGGAAATGCAGGATCCATTAGAATGGATGTATACTACTAAACTATGTTCTGTAGTTCTGTTACATGAGTAATCATTTTTTTTGCTTCATCATCAATAACCCAAATGAGAGTTGCCAGGCCCAATCCTGTCTGGTTGATGCCACATCACCCCTTATTAGCACTGGTAATGTGTCATCTGTGTAACTTTATAATGTTTTGTTTGCTGGTTAATATTTTCCCACCTAATCATATTTATTACCTTTCTAGTGGACTTTATTGACAGGGTAATGTTATTACCCTCATTTTTTAGGATGATTGCTAGCTTCTTATTGGCTTAAATATGCTTTTAAAACTTGCAAACACATTGCCTTTTCTTTTAGGCTCATGTGATTTTTTGTTTTTCATAGTTATAACTTATACGTAGTATTGTTTATCGTTTTAGTCCCTTTCTGACATTTTGTTAACCTCCCTTTGCAAAAAACTTATGTGCTTACAAAACTATAATCTTAGTTTTTCATATCATTTTCTTATTTTAAAAATACTTGATATTTTATTTCTGGCTTAATACACAAGAAAGTAGTGTCTGATATAGCAGCAACACAATCAATCTATTGTATTTGTAATTCTCAGATGTTATGTGTCGGTTTAGAATCCGTCTAATTACGTGTATTAAGATGTGTCTAGCGATATGCTCTACATTTAGAGGTACATATAGAGGTAGACATAAGAATGGTTTCTCCAAGAAAATAGTAGGCATAAAATGGTCAATTATGTAATACTAGGTATTAGATTAGACAATTGTGAAATACTTACAATTTAAAATGATTGATATATTTAAAATGTGCAAAAGTTGCTTCTCTCAAAGAGGTAGGAATTTCCGGGATTCGCCAAATAGGAACCGGGACCGGGACCATGCCCAGCGGGAAATACAGAGTATTCTCTATGTTTCCAACAGGATCAATAACCTCTGACAAGTTCAGAGGCTTGGTTTGGTGGTTCAGAATGAGCTTGCATGATGGTCAAGGGCACACTCGTCACCAATGGAGTCGGAGGTTGTGGGTCCATAGAACCGATAATTTGAGCGTAGTACTCCGTATGAATTTTGAAAAATAAAGAAACAATATCAACATGTTTCTTTTCTTGACAGGAAGTGAACTTATTTGTATTGTGGTACCCCAATAAAATAAGTAAAACATTCATTTATTACAGATGAGTGTGAACTTGTGAACATGAATAGCTAGCTTGTTCTTATTATTGATATTATTAGTAGGTACTTAAACATCCAAACATAAGTATTAAATAGGTAATAAATAGTACAGTACATGTAACAGCTAGCAAGCATGCCGATTATGAGTGTTTCCCTCATCTCTTGGAAGGTAATTCATGACCATACAAGAAAGAATGTATAAGTGTGAGAGCCTCACTCGGCTTATCGAGAGGCACAAGATGACCTGCCCCCCTCACCGTCACAAGCGTGATTCCTTTGTACTCAACTATCCTTCCTCCTACCTGCACCATGTTTTAGTTACCTCAATAAGCATCTTTGTAGTTGTTAAATAGAAAAGGCTCAATTTATTGGAAAGCTTGCCTGCTGATTGTGGAACCAAGAGCGCCATTGGGGTTTATGAGAAGAGTGCTTATTTAGAGCTTCTATCCAATATCTTGTCCCAATAACTGGTACTCTTCCATCAGCATCCCCACTTTTTTTCAAGGACAAATTAAACATCAAGCATGTTTAAGTTGTGGGTTTTATCTCATTGTTGTGTACTCCGTAATAAACTAGTATATGGTAAATATTGTTTTAAATAGGCATTAACCTTGATCCAATTATTTGATTCTTTAGGTTGCAGGCTCCGTTTATTTTGTATGTAAAAGTGGGGGAAATGAAGAAATCTAAAAGACTAACTAAATATGGTTTGTAACTTTGTTTTCCTAAATATGAGTTATATGACTAAAAAAAATTAACATCATCGCACAAAAATAATGAGACAAAATACCTTTTTCATTTTATGTGATTTAAAACTACATTCATCATGATTACTACTATCACTGTCACCTGGCGTCAGGATTGTCTTTTTGAGGGAGAGGGTCCTTAATTGCAAATATTACAATGTACTCCTTATTAATTAGTTACATGGCCAAATTTACAAGCTAGTAAAGTTTCAAGACAAATAATGGACAACCTAAAGTTACGAGACCAACTCAATGATTAGGATAGGAAGGGTATGACTTTTATATTTATAGATGTCTCATAAAGATAAAAAAACGCTTCTTGAATGGGAGAGTGGTGAAAGGGAAAACCCTAGTTGTTTCTTCTCTCTTTTCTTCCTCAATTTTGTTCTTTTCCTCAATTTGAAAAAAGATTTCCTTAGCTGGTATTTTCAAATTATTTTATGTGTTTTCTCCCTATTGACGTCTAGGATTTGTATATTCCTTGTCGGTGGAACCGATCGGGTGGTGAGATTTTATTTGTTGGTGGTTGACAATGTTTGCTGTGTTTTTTGGGAGGTTAACTTCGAAATTCAAGTATCAACGACTCCAAGGCCGCAGACCCACAATTATGTGTCCTCCTAATTCCTAAAGCACCGTCATGCTATGAGAGAAAGATAGTGTTCAATTGAATTTTCTTTTCGCTATATCTCAAATTGGGGATCAAACAAACCAGATTTTCTAGTATATCCTTGTTGGAAGATGGTGAAATCAATTTATATTTTTGTTTCCTATCACATAGTAGTTTTAATACTTTTTCTAGTCTTGATTGTTGGTCTGTAGCATGAGCTTCTAGATTGATAGAGAGATTACATCTCTATAGGGTTGGATTCGGTTCGGGCCACCCGGCCCGTGACCCGGCCCGGCCCGGTACTGTGCGGGCCCGGGACCGGCCCGGTCGGGCGGTCTGGGACCGGGTATGGACTCGAACCGGTGGGAAGGGGCGGGGCGGGCTCGGTGCTGGATTATTGTGACCCGGCCCGGCCGGGTCGGGCCCGGGCCCGGGTCCGGGTCTAATTTAAAAAAAAAATGGTTTGGGCTACTAGCCGTTGGGGGTGGCCGGTGGGGTTGGGGACAACCCAAACGGCTATATAGCCGTTGGGTGGGGTAAAGGGGGGGTCCGGGGGGTTGGCTGGTGGGGGGGTGTTGGGGGTGTGGGGGGTAAAAAAACCTATAAATACTCCTAATCTTAAACATTTTTTCATATCTCTTCTCCAATTCTTCCTAAATCCTATTCTTAACTCTCTACTCTCTAATTCTCTTATTCTCCAATATATTATATTTATTATTTATATATCTACTTTATAGTTTATACTTAAGAAGTTAAGATGGAAAATCAAGATGCCATTATACGGTATAATTTTGATAAGCAGAAGGACCCGAAGACCGGGATGTGGTACGCAATTTGCAAATGGTGCGAGAAAAAATGTAGCATGGGGGTTTCTGGCGGATTCAGAATGGCAATCAAGCATATGAAGTCATGTGACAAAGCCAAAGGATCGGGAGGTGCGGGACGTTCCGATTGATTACAATTTTCAAAATGTTTATATGTTAAAGTTTGTTTTAATTTTCAAATGTAGTTCCTATTTCATTTCAAATAAATGCAATTGAAGTTTGTTTTTAATACTCGTATAAAACTATAAACTATAAAATATAAATTATATAAAAAAAAATTAACCGGCCCGGCCCGAACCGGACCCGACCCGTGACCCGGGCGGGTGGCCCGGCCCGGACCGGACCCGTCCAACCCTCGGGCCGGTCCCGGGCCCATGTCATACTACCCGGCGGCCCGACCGGGCCTAGGCCCGGCCCGAATCCATCCCTGCATCTCTATGGTGTTAGTGGATTGTTATGTTTTTTGGAATCTTTGGTTCTAGATCTAATCTCATTATAGCCTTAGACTATCCATTCAGAAAAATACAAAGTATTTTCCATTCAAAAATATATATATAAAGAAAAGCCAGAAGTCCACAACTAGGAAGAGATAGAATGCCAAAAAAACTGTATTTACGTCCTAAGCTACCTGTAGATCCAAATTCTGAGTCCACTTTTGATTAGCTTTTTATAAACGGGCAGCAGGGAGAAGTCAGTGTAGTTGTATCCATAAAATACTGGATGGCTGAAGAGAAAAGTGGGATACGAATACAAACATAAAGAAATGCAGTTTAATATAAGATTGTGAATTAAACATACATGATTCAAATGATTGGTTTCATGCATTTGAATCATTTTATGAACTAGCCTGCACGTATTCCAGTTGACGGGTTGGTTTCTGATATTCACGTGGAATGCCTTTTGAACATCAATCCTGTTGAAGTAAGCCTGTGCATAAGGCGAATAGCAGGGAGAGTAACCCCCGGGTATAGTGTTCTTCATCCTCCCCTTCACATTTCTTCCTTCCTACGATTTATTATATATGATCATCAAATAAGTTAATGAAACGAAGCGTTGGCGGGGGCGGACCTAGGAAATTCACCATGGGGGGCTGAGACTCGGTGACGCGCTTAGAATTTTTTTGATTATTGACCAAATTACACTAGAATTTAGTAACATATTTCACAAATAGCAAATCACATTGTTAATATTGTTTGATAAGACTTAGTTTAAGTTATAAATGTACAAGTATGTATAAAAAAATTAAAAAGAAGATCAATTTATACCATGTGTGTGCAAAGATGCAATTGTAGATAAAATTTGAGAAAATTACCTCGAAGTTAAACATAACAAAATTCAGTGATTTTTTTATCTTTTTATTCTTTTAAAAGGATTACACAAATTAAATCTTATTATTAGGGGAGAAAACACTTTTTGTCCTATTTTATAACTTTTCATATGTTTAACTCATATTTTGTACAATTTTGTATAAAACTTTGGTTATATATATACGGGCAGAGTTGGGATGGGGGTGGGGGGAACTGCCCGCACAATGACTACGTCCCTCGCCGTAGTTAAAACAAAATAATTGTAAAAATTCATTATTGTAATTTTTGTATATACTTCTCCGTAGTATATAAAATGAAGTATTAAAATAGTACATAGTAGACAAAAAAATATAAAAAGAGACGAATATATTACTCGTGTTACAAAAGAGTAAAGTTAATATCTTAAAGTTGTATCCGGTATTCCTCCAAAGATATAAATTCCTCAATCATAGCTTTTGAGTCGTTTTATTTTCATACAAGAGTCAAGAGTATAGAGTATTAGAGTACATGTCACTTTCAATTTCTATTTTTAGGAATTCGACTTGTCCTCAAATTTTCAGATTTTTGTTTAATGAATACACAATCATTCATAGTAAATGAATTCATATAGACTATGTGTCACTTTTTAACTATTAATTTTTTGCACTTTTTATCCTTAGTAGATATTTAATTAAAAAGTGGGAAAACAAATATTACAATTATTTATATTGTGGGGGGCTAATTTATGTTTCTCATATATACAACTCTGCCCCCGGGTCTCGACCATGGTCCGCCCCTGAACATGTGAAAGAGTAGCTTATGAATCCTTAAAAACGACAACATACATATAAAACTTATTAATTCTGTCATTATGGCTCAAAAACATCCTATTCATTCATCCTCTCTTTAATTAAACAAAGAAATTCTGAGCCTTATTACGTATTTAAATAAAGAAGCTGCTTGTATCACTTGTGTATGTAATCCGATTGAATCTCATTCCCCACGAGAATGACACTTCCCGGGAGAAATAATATTGATCAAAAACGGTGCGCATTGAGGTTCATTAGAGAATAAAAACATGATAGTTCTATTTTGGAATTCTCAAACCCGCTTAATCATATTTAGGGCAATTTTCCCAGAGAAAATTCAACCTGTTTAATTAATGTCACCGCATTTTCTAATTTGGAGCAATGCACATTTATGTTTCACATGATGCACCATTCTCAAATCTAACGTCTGAGATTCATTCTCAACCATTTCTCTCCTTAGATCGCATTCTCAATTTATCCAATTTTTGAAAACATCCCACCAAAATATATACGTAGTATAAAAATGTAGTTTTCAAGAAAAAAACTAATTTTTGATTGAATTTTAAATAGAAAGTTTGTTAACATAATTTAAATTTTAATGAAGAACATGCTTACAGAATTTCATCAAAAAATTCCACCCGAAAGCATCTCAAATGGAGGTGATCGGACGGCATTCCGGTCAGGAAATTCCTAATAGGAATATTTGTGTGTGTGTGTGTGTGTGTGTGTATAGAATAGAACACACATTTTTAATTTATTTTAAAAAAAATTAAATTAGGAATATTATAAATCTTACTAAAATTCATATAAATTTGAATTAATAATTTAATAATAATATAAAATAGTATAAATATAAAATAGATAAAAATTTAATAACATTAAAGTAAAAAAATAAAAAAAAACTTAAAAAATATTGTGAAAATAAAAAAATAAAAAAACTTTAAAACCCTTTTAAATAGATGTCGAATATACAAATATTTTTAAAAACTAAAAAATATTGAATTTGATATTCTGAGAGTTTTCACAATTTTTGTATATATTTCTTCAAATTTTAACAATTTTTAGAATTTTTAAGTATTAAAAACCAACTATTACAGGTCAAAAGCTGATTAAATGGTTAAATTGATCCATTATGTAAAGTACGCGAACTTATATGATACTTTTTTGAGATATTACCCGAAATAAGACTAAAACAGTTTGAAAATTCCAAAATAGGACTGCCATATTTTTATTTCCAAAATATGACTAATTACTGCCATGTTTTGGCAGTACCAAACTTCAAACATGGCAGTATTTTCTAAACATGACAGTAATTAGTCTTATTTTGGGAATAAAAAACATGACAATCCTATTTTGGAATTTTGAAACCGTTTTAGTCCTATTTCAGGAACTTTCTTTACTTTTTTTAGTACATGGGTTTAAGTGACGGTTCGGAAATAGTACGAGGGTTTATTTGAACCTTTTTTCCTTAATTGTATGCATGATTATTTACCTTCTTCAATGTGGGATTATTGGTACCGGCTCCAGAGGAAGAATCATTGAGAAGACACTTAGGAGCATAGATGTTATAGATATCAATTTCTTTAAACTTTGTGGAGACAAGAGACATGGCCTTATTGCAGTCATCGGACCAGTAAACCCTCCGAAAGTCGCATTCTCGTTTGGCAACATCATACTCTTCATCTGAAATTACTGTATGACTCCATGCATATTCTAAAAAGCCTTTATAATCATAAAAATCATCTGTTTCCGGGTTCCCCACCTGCATGTTTTAATTCAGACACTTAATACAGATTGGTTTATGTATTAAGAATATTTAATTAATCATGAGACAGATCGATCTTTTTCCATCATTTGCAATGGAACCAAAGATTCATTTTTTTGGTTTGAGAGTATGATGGAATAAAGCAAAATGACTCACTAAACTGTCTGCGCTTCTTTGTTATGGAGCAGCAGTCAGTCCATGCAATTTTGGACGCGATTTTCACTATGAGTCATCCGGAAACAGTCTCTCTGTGCTTTAGTACAGGGGTAAAACTGCGTACATCCGACCCCCCTTACCCCACCGTAGGTGAGAGCCTTTACGGCACTGGGGTAAATGAAAATGAAAATGATCAGATCGATCAGCATGAGTTTAGAATATATATTATGGAAACACATACTATGATACCCTTGAGATTTATGTGCGCATATGTTCTGTTATCCTTGTTTCGGTCAACAATGACCTTGGCTAGTTGGGGAACATAGTGTCCTGCAATTTTTTCAACCAATGCAATTATAAGTTATATAGAAATATTCAAATATGTATCGTTCCCTTATTTATTGTTGTGCTATCTAGGGGTGGCCAGCTATACCTGGTTTAAACTCATCCCACATCTACCAGTTAGTGATCGGTATTGTTTTTTCAGGTATGGATGATTGGATGTCTAATTGTAAAGTAGTAGTTTACTCCATTCATCCCTTATAACTTTGACAAGTTTGATCGTCACGTGGATTAATAAAGTAAAAATTGTGTGCTTGAGACTTGTGCAGAAGATAGAGAATTAACCGGAACCATAAATTCTTTATTTAAAAGAAAAAGTGGCAAAAGTAGTGGGACACTCAAAAAAGAAAGTTGACAAAGTTTTAAGGGACAGAGGAAGTATGTTTTATTCCCATTTTAGGACTCTCATATTTAGAGTGCCATATTGTGTAAAATATAACATACCCTTGTTCAAGTTACTTATGTGTTACAACCGAGACGACATTTCTTTGTACATTAACAATCAGGATGATATTTCCATTAATAGTCAATATGACATTTTTTACTACCATGTTCAAGGTAATTCGTGTGTGCTATCGAGATGACATTTTTTATACAATGGAAATCAAGATAGCATTTAGATGAGTAGTTAAGATGACATTAAAATGGCATTTTCAGCCATTCATTATGTCAATAAAATATTGATCAAGATAACATTTATTTTGTTCAGTGGCGAATCCACTAAGGGTCCCACGGGTCCCGGGACCCCATGAATTTCGAAAAAGATACTTATATATATTATATACGAAGTGTATTTTATATAAACTCTTTTATTCTAAAAGACCAAAATTATGTCGTTTTGTCCTTTTCTTTTAAATCCCTAAAATCATCTTCATCGCCTCCCCGTCTAAAAACTTAAATAAGGACTCCTTCAATGAAAAAAAATATTCTACCACCATCAATAAAATACACTTTGCATATTTTTTATATATCAATTTAATAAAATATTTAGTAAATAATGGATAAAATAATTTAAATAACCTGAACTTTTGAGGGGTATGAGGTAAACCCGAAACTTGCATATCTAATATAAATATCCCATTTTTAAAAAAAATAATTTTGCACTATGAGCATATGTTTTTTCTTTTACAAATGTAATATTATAGTATTGAGTAAATAATTTAAATTAATATTCTAAGCATTTCTAGTGTGCAATTAACATTATAAACTTATGTTAATTTTATCTATTTCAAATATTGAAGCTTAGATTAATAATTTCATCCTTATAAATGCCCAAAGTATTTTAAGACTATAAGTTTACATTTATGATAGAAAATAAAAAAAAATGATGGTGGCATGGTGCTAAGATAAATTTTTATATACACTTTGAGTTATTTTCATTCCATGTGCAAGTTTGGGGTGCTTATCTTACACCTCTTAGAAGTTTGGGGTATTAAAATTATTTTCCCCTTAAATAATTATAAATAGTATTTTTCTTTGATTTTTTTCTATTAAAAAATTACACATTTTGATATTAAAAATTTAAACTCCCAATGATTTTTTTTTACTTTTTCCGGTTGTAGAATGATTTTTTTTATGTAAATGTAGAATGAATTTTATATGTAGTTTTGTGTGTTATCTATCTTAATGTTTTGATGATATAAGTTAACTATGAAACATTATGCTTCTTTAATATTTTACTTTATTTTTTATTAATTGTATATTAATCAGAGTTACATTAGAGTAGGGACCACATGACTCGATTTTTCTGGCTCCGCCACTGATTTAATTGTATATTATTATGTGTCCTTTTTTTAAATAAAAGCAATTTTGACATTTATTTTTACTTTTTCTTCAACCCGAGCACACCAAAAGTCATGGTCTTGCTTTTGCACTTTCACCATATTTTAGTTCTATTTTCTCAACAAGAAATTATGAAGCAAGAAAATAATCATATGTATTTATATCGGTATGTGAAACCTGCCAGATAATTTCCTTGGGTGTAGTTTTAGTTTTTACTTTCTCTGTATGGTTTTATTTTCTATCTTTTATTTTCTTTTTTTTCATTTCTCTTTCTCTGTATTGTTTACTTTTCCTTTTCAATAAAATTCCTCTTTTCTAAAAAAAAAAGAGTGTCACAAAAAAAGGTATGTGAAACCTGCGTAGCTCTCTCCTGCTATGAAGAAGTCACGATACTTGAATTGTGGGAATCTCTCCATCCAATTAACCAAGAAGTTGTAGGAATCCTGAGCTATATATATTATCACATTAGACCATTGTTTACGGTGAATAATAACAACAATAAAACAATAGTAATACTTTTAATTTGAGTGTATATGTATAAAATTATTTCCATTATTTTCAAGAGTAGCAGTGGTTTTACCAACGAATTCATCATCCAGCACATTCAAATCAGCGGATGTGTTTGTGAATGAGAACCCAACCCCTACGGGAGACTCCACAAATAACAAATTGGCTTCTGCAATCAATTACGAAGTTACTCTCACAAGCAGATAAAGCCAACAAGTTTATTTTGGGGATCCAAAATAAAGTAAGATTGTAAGATTAAATTAAATTGTGATATTTAAGTGCAGAAATTAAATGGTGATATTTAAAGTGCAATAATTAAATTGTGATATTTAATAATATGATAATCCATTTAGTATCTTGGTTTTCACAATTGTAAAGATGTATGGCTGACGCATAATTAACCTACAATATCAAGTAATTAGTTCTTACTATTAAAATGAGTTGAAAACTTGATACTATAGATTTGTGCAAGAAAATGTCAGAATATTGATCAAACTTATTCTAACTGGCTGCCGTGGTGATATACTTATGACCTATTTTTATAAATATTACTAAATTAAATATAAAACACAAAATTGTGACTTGTTTATTTGTTTCACAAAAATGTGACTTACCATATCATTTATTCTCTTATTTAATATTACATTTATTATTCTGATATTCCATGTTTTAATTAATAATTAATTAATGAGACTGTTATTATATTATTTGGCACTGTTATTATATTATTTGGTAATGTTATTGTTATACTCTAGACTATTTTATTAAGTTCAAGACTGTTTGGGTATATTGATGAGACTCTTCTTATATTATTTGGCAATGTTATGCATCTTTTTAGATTTTTCCTCTAAGTGTGTTATTATCGCTCCTTTTTAGACTACATAGTCATTTCGGTAAATATAGTTTTTCAAACTAACTTCACTGCATTGAGTCAGTAATATAAATTTATTCCCATAAATGAATATATAATCAATTCCCTATAATTGAAAGTGAAATGGTCATGATTACTTTATGTAATCATTCTTTTAATGTACAATACATGCCAAATCTACCCCACAAAACTAAAATATAATACAAACCCAAGATTCAACAATTCCTAAAGTGTAGTCAAAGGCAAAAGTTGTTTTTGAACAATCTACATTTTCTTTTTTTCTACAAACTACCATATATTATTAAATTATTGGAAAATTGAAAATAATAATCTCAGCTATTATCGATCCGCCATTAATAATCTCAACTATCGATTAGTACTCCTAGGTGATTCCAAATATAAGGACCATTTTTCAAAAATAGTCCATAACCGGTTACAACCTGGTATAGCAGGTCAATTTTAAATGCGAACTTTAAGTAAGCTATAAATAACCGATGACCCCAACTATAGCTGATGCTTTTTTATTAATTAATCTCAATTATCAACTCCCAATTTTCGGAAGATATAGAAATATTTTTATAAATTTCCAAACTAAATATTTTTAAGTATGAAATATTAAATATGAAAATTCTACAAATGTACTGAAATCAAATAAAAAAATTAGTAATTTTTAATTTATTTTAACTAAAATTTATTTTTTCCTTTTCCAATTTGTTTTTCACAGTTGTGTTACCATTTTATGATTTTGTATTATTTTCCTTTTATTAAAATTTACATTTTCTATTTTCAAAATGTAAATTGTTATTAAAAATTGTACAATTTAGATATTTATCTTAGCTTAATCTAAAAATTTAAATTTTCTATTTGTTCCATTTTAGTATTTTTAATTTCTAGCTACCAAGTAAAAATGTGAATAGCTTAAAATGACGATAAAAAATGTTTACCAATAGTCCACATTTTCTCTACCAAAATAGTTAGGATTATTATTACCACTATGATACATTTTTTCTTCATTTTTAACGATCTCCATTATACCACTTAAAATTATAATAATAATAACACATTTTAATTAAAATTAGTTAAAACCTTCATAACCTATACCCCAAATCACTAAATTTAAATGATAAACTATATAATAAAGGTTATAGAATATAACAATATAAAATAAAGAAAATAGAAACAAACTAGATGTACTAAAATGGGAAAGATAGAAAAATTAGGTTTTTAGAAATAAGATAGCATAAAAAATAACTAAAATTTTAATCATTGTTTACTTTTTGAAAACATAAAATGTAAATTTGAATAAAGGAAAATAATACAAAATCTTAAGTTGGTAACACAACTGGGAAAAACAAATTGAAAAAAAGGAAAAAATAATTTTTTTGTAAAAATAAATCGAAAAATGACTGAAAATATTTTATTTAACTTCGGTACATTTGCATAATTTTTTTAGTTGTTTATACATGTTTAAAAACGCTTAGTTTGAAAATTTATAAAAATAATACTGTATCTTCCAAAAATTTAGAGTTGATAGTTGGGATTAATAATGTAAAAAAAGCAACTTTAATTGGGATTATTTAAAGCTCACAGATAGTTCACATTTAAAATTGACTTGCTATATCAGGTTGTAACTAGTTAGAGTCTGTTTTTGAAAAATGGTAACTATAGTTGGGATCATCCTAAAATAATCGATAGTTGGGATTATTAACGACGGACCGGCAATACTTGAGATTGTTTTTTTCAATTTGTCCTATATTGTTAAAGCTACAATAGAATCTATTATAATTACATACCATCACACAATAGAATCTATTATATATTGTCCTATATTGTTTACATCACATTTACAATATAATAAAATAAAAGATCTAAAAAGTCGTTTTTTCTATTCTAGATGTACCCCGTGCATCGCACGGGTACTTCGTCTAGTGTACAACTAAACCACATAACCCATAAGGAATAAAAGACCGAAATCAGAGTTAACCTTTATTCCAAGAATAGTTGTTGAAGCGGAGACCAGCCCCATTTTCCCGAACTCTAAGAGGACCCAACTCTGAAGCTGCTCCATATCCAATTGATGAGCAACCGGGTCCTTTAACGATCACCAAACATGAGATGCACATTTTTTAAAGTCTCAAACAAGTTAAAATTGGACTTCAGTCACATATTATAAAACTTTGACCTATTACCCACCTTAAAATTGGACTTCACTCACATATTATAAAACTTTGACCTACTCACCGACCCACACATAATACACACACGCCAATAGAATTTGGATCAAGTTAAAAGTGTTTTATATGGAAATAAGGGCTAATCCTAACCTTTAATTTGATTAAATATAATGGAAGAATTAAATAAATTCTTAAAGCCAAAACACGAGTTTAATGCATCAAACCCCATAATGATATATGGAATATAAATTCGGCGCATTAGTGCCCTTGATTTAAAAAATGTGTCAACCCGTCCTGTGTTATAATTATTCACATGCACACAAAACCCCTTCTATGAACAAATTTAATTTCCCAATAAATGGAAAATGATTAATATTTTTGCAGAATTCAGAGATCTTGACAAACTTACTTACATATTCAAGTATTGTTCCAAAAAAAGGTGGAATCTCCCACCCCAGGAGCCCCCCACCCCGACCCGACAGGATGGTGGGGAGGTTAGTCACGGTGACTCAGTCAGCAGAATGGCAGTAGGCTCATACACCCGTGCGCACCAGAGGCCCAGCCTTATTTCAGGTTCTGTGACCTCCACCCGGTCGCTGCGGGGATTCGAACCTTGGTCCATTATTCTTGGAGGGGATTTTGCGCATGAATAATTCTAATGTAGGGGGTTTGACACTTTTTTTAAAATCACATAGAGCTAATACGTCAGATTTATATATCACAAGTGACTTTGATGCATTGAACCTGTCAAAACACAATAACACTTGTAAATATGGAAAACTTTGAACGTAACCATTAACACAAAAGTGCATCATATTGTATTGAAAAAATTGAATAGTACAAAACTATGTGTCACTTTGTAAAATTGAATACTCCCTTCATATCATTATAAGTGTCACTGTAGACTTTTCACCTAATTTAAGATAATGTCATAGGTTTATGGTAAACTTTTAAAAGATTTTGTGGTTTTTGATATTCTAGTAGTATTGTATACTTTATTAAAGTGCATTGTAGTTGTCTTTGAGACAGACTTATTTCTTAAAATGAGAATGTGACAATTAATTTGATACGACTCGAAAAGAAATGTGTGACCGTTATAGTGATAGAGAAATGTGTGACAAAAGTGCATCAAAAGATGCACAAAAATGGGTGCATATACAAAACTATGTGATAAAATTTTCATGGACACACAAAATGCAATCGTATTATAAAACAATGCACTTTTTATTTAAATATGCATAGCACATTTTGAATTTACTTATGTACATTATGCCACCATATGTTTTGAACCATTAATGTTTTAATCCATCCACTTTTGTAATAAAATGGCTACACTTATTGTTACTCTTTATGAGAAGATATATTTTCATTATAACATCGTCATGTCTATATGTATATGAAAATTTTCAGATATAAGAATGCTCTGTTTTTTCCTTAATACGAGTACATTACTACCATATTTCAGCATTATCAAACTTTAAATATGACATTATTTACAAGTTTATAAATAATTACATTTTTAAGAAATAAAAACATAGTACTCATATTTTGAAATTCTCAATGATTTTATTGCTATTTAGGACAATTTTATACTATGTACCACTGTCCCTCATTTAAAGTTTCGGTTTGAGTATTGAGTCAGACTTGTTAAAATTTGACCGTTAATTGTTAAGAAGTATAATAGTCAAAGTAGTCAATAAGTGCAATATTGTACAAGTACTATAAATAAGAGATATGAGGCTGGATATTTTTAGTTCAGCCATTATTCCCCGTCAAATCATTGGTTACAGTTTCCGTTCCATCCTAACTGTTCTAACAAACTTGGTATCAGAGAGAGATACTCTGTGAGACATGGCGATGAATCCTACCATCTTTCCGGCTAATCTCCCGATTCTTGATGGCAAGAACTGGCACCATTAGTCAGTACAGATGAAAGTGGTATTCGCTTACCAGGAAGTCATCGATATCGTGGAAGATGGATTTCCGATGTTGACCGAAAATTCCACAGATGCGGAAAAAGCTACGTATAAGGAGAACAAGAAGAGATATTTCAAGGCCATGTTTCTTATCCACTAGTGCGTTGATAACGCACACTTTGAGAAGATCGCTTCTGCTCCAACTTCTCATGCTGCCTGGGAAATTCTGGAACAATGCAATGAAGGTGCAGATGCATTGAAGAAGGTAAAGTTGCAGACATTGCGAAGGCAATACAAACTTCTGAAAATGACTGTTGACTCCCAATTTTGATTACGTTGTCGCTGCAATTGAGGAAACAAAGGATCTTGCAACCTATAAATTGGAGCGTCTACAAGGTTCTTTGCAAGCCTATGAACAAAGAATGAAGGAACGAAAAGAAGAGGACTCTGTAGAACAAGTTTTACAGGCACAAACATCCAAGAAACCTAATCACCATGGAAGAGGTGGATTACGTGGTAGAGGTAGGGGAAGATCAAATAAATTCAACTTTGGAAGAAATTCCAGCTCTTCTAAACAACAAGATCAAGCAGAATCCTCCACTGGGAGAGGGGGGATTAATAAACAAAGAGGCAGAAGAAGGAAAATTGACAGAAAGAAGATAAAGTGCTTTAACTGCAATAAGATTAGACACTTTTCTACTGAATGTAGAGCCCCTACACAAGGAGATCAGACCAATCCTCAAAGGGATGAGGTCAATTTGGTCCAAGATGGGAGAGAGACTGGTGAGGAATCTGTGATGCTTATGATGACAACCAATCATTATGAGTTTAATGCTGACATATGGTACCTTGATTCAGGGTGTTCAAACCATATGACAGGGCACATGAATTGGTTTGTCAACTTTGACTCTTCAAAGAGAAGTAAAGTCAGGTTTGCTGATGATAGGGTAACTACTGCTGAGGGATCTGGCGATGTGATTGTAAGAAGACACAATGGTTCAGATGCAGTTATTACAGATGTCCTTTATGTACCGGGAATGAAGAGTAACTTCCTGAGTCTTGGTCAGCTTCTTGAGAAAGGATTTGTGATGCATCTGGAGCAAGGATACTTAGATGTACTTGATTCTTCTTGCAAAAGGATCTTCAAATTGCCAATTTCAAGCAATAGAACTTTCCAAGTGCAAATCTCTGCAATGGAATCCCACTGCTTGAATACTGAGCTGATTAATGACAATAATTGGCTGTGGCATCTCAGATATGGACACCTTAACTTCAGAGATCTGTGTAACCTGCACAACAAAGGTATGGTCCATGGTTTGCCCTCTATTCAGATACCTGGAAAACTGTGTGATAATTGCTTGATCAGTAAACAACACAGATTGCCTTTTCATTTATCTACTCCATCCCGGGCCAAAGAATTGTTACATGTTGTTTATTCAAATGTTTGTGGCCCATTTGAAACCCCTTCCCTGGGAGGAAATAGATATTTTGTTTCCCTTGTGGATGAATTTAGCAGAAAAATGTGGATATATTTTCTTAAAGCAAAGAATGAGGTCTGTGATACACTAAAGAATTTAAAATTCTAGTTGAGAAACATTCTGGGCACTATATCAAAGTCCTGAGGACTGATGGTGGAGGTGAATATTTCTCTAATGAACTAGAAGCTTTCTTCAATTCCAATGGAATCATTCATGAAATCACAACTCCCTACACCCCTCAACACAATGGTATTGTGGAAAGGAGGAATAGGACTGTGCTGAACATGGTAAGAAGTATGCTGAAGGGCAAAAATTTCCCACACAGACTCTGGGGTGAAGCTGCTGCGACTGCTGCTCATATTCTGAATAGATCTGCAACTAAAAGGTTGGTTAATCAAGTTCCAGAAGAAGTCTGGTCAGGGCAAAAGCCTTTGGTAGCACATTTCAGAGTCTTTGCGTGTCTTTGTTACAAACACGTCCGAGATCAAGTGAGAAAGAAGTTGGATGATAAAAGCGAGCCAGTGGTGTTTGTTGGCTATAATTCCACAGGTTCCTACAGGCTTTACAACCCCAGGACTAAGAAGGTGGAGTTTAGTAGAGATGTTATCTTTGATGAGCTGAAGAACTGCATTTCTGAAGATGAAATAGTTCACTCACCTCATGCACGGGTGGAACTTGATTGGGAGGAGAGTGATACCTCTGTTCATGGAGGGTTTGGACAGAACATTAGTCTGACTGAAAATGCTTCTCAAAGGCCAACCAGAACAAGGTATATGCCACTGAGGTTCAGAGATTATCAAGTCCAGAATGATTCTGAGATTAATGAGAATGGTGATTCTATGTACATGGCATTAATTGTTGATATATATTCCATCAGTTTTGAAGAAGCTATTACTCAGAATATATGGATTGAGGCTATGAAAGATGAACTGCATGCTATTGAAAGAAACCAAGTGTGGGATTTGGTAGACCTGCCAGCTGGAAAGACACCATACCTTTCAAATGGGTGTTTAAAACCAAAACTCATGTTGATGGATCTATAGCAAAGCATAAGGCTCGTTTGGTGGCAAAGGGGTTCATGTAGAAGCCGAAGGTTGATTATTCTGAAGTGTTTGCCCCAGTAGCTACATTTGAAACTATTAGAGCTATAGTAGCAGTTGCTAGCAAGAAGAATTGAACACTTTGGCATCTTGATGTTAAATCAGCATTTTTAAATGGAACACTTGATGAAACAGTTTACATTCAACAGCCCCCAGGCTTTGAAATCAAGGGTCATGAACATCAAGTGCTAAAGTTTAAAAGGGCCTTGTACGGTCTTAAACAAGCTCCAAGGGTGTGGAATAGAAGGATTGATTCTTTCTTCCAGAGTGTTGGGTTCAAGAAGTGTACTGTGGAGCATGGTGTTTATGTTAGAAACAATGAGTCAAGAGGAAATTAAGCAGAAACTGAAAATGAATTTGAGATGACAGATTTGGGGAAATTGTCATTCTTTCTGGGTATTGAATTCACACACACTGAGCAAGG